GGGGTCCCCACTCCGGCACAGGCACGTGGTCCTCTCTCCCAGGGCCACGGGAGTCCCCACTCTGCCAGGCTGTGTGGTTCTCCCTCTCAGGGCTGTGCATGGCTCTCCCCCCTAAAGCAGCATGGTTCTCCCACCTAATGGCCGCCAAGTCTGGGTTTTAAATTCCTGAGGCCAATCTTCCTCTGCAGCCTCATTTCCGACTCCTACCACACTCGGCTTCACATGCCAGAACTCGTATCCTTCCAGCTTTACTGGGCTGCCATCATGAGTCTGGGCAGGCGTGGCCCCATGTCCTGGAGTCAATCATCTCCAAGCTCCCACGCAGGTGCTGTAACTCGGGGGACCTGCCCCCCCCAGTTATGTCTTGGTGGGGAAGTTACTTCCAACCCCTGGCTCGGCATGGCCACAGCTATTTAATATATCTAAGCAACCAGTCAAAGGCTATAGATATGTTAAATGACCACGCCAGAAGGTAGCTGCAAGGCTGTTGCTATGCAAAACAGCTCTCAATGGCCCTGCTCCATTTGTCCCTTCCCCCAACCCACACCATGGGGGAGGGGGGGTGGAGACATCTTAACATCTCCTGGACACCCTAAGTTCTGGACCCCATTTCAAATGCCCATTTGGGGTGCCCCCTCTTGGCTGCACCCTGTAACAGTCCTATCCCTTCTGTCTTGAGACCCAGGTCCTGGGATCAGACTGACTGCTCCTGAGGTTACCCTGCCCAATGGCCCACAGCCATTTTCCCACCATAACATGATGGATGTCCCATGCTTCCCTCAGTGACAGGGGCTCCCTATGGCCACAATTCTTAACCAAAAGGAGGAAGGTGGAAACGTTTTGTTTGAAAAGCCCCTTAGGAACTTGGAAGGCAGGCCTGTGGCCTCCTTTGAGACCGAGCACCAAACCTGTAATCTTACAGATGAAAATGCTGAGGTCAGACAGAGGGAGTCTGCCTTGGCCTCAGGGACCAGCAGCACCAGGACTAAATAGACCCAGACTACCCAGCTCACAGTCCCTGCCCTTCCCTCTATTTCGTGTTTGTTTAGGCAAGAGCTGGCAACCCTGTGGGATTTTCCTTCCCCGTTTCCCATTCTCAACCTGAGCAGAGCGCAGTTTAGACTGGAACTGTCCTGATTATTCTTCTGCAGGGTTGGTTCTGACAGAACCAGAACGGGCATCCTGAGCACAAGCATGAGATTCTTGTACAAGGTGTGTGGAGACTGGATGGACTACATTTGCCACTTTGAAAGTTCAGGCTTTTTACCTTTGCCTTGTTTCAGCTATGACTAGCAAGACAGGATCAACTCTGGCTTTTAAAAAGCCCTCAACTAAAAATAAATATAGAAATACATAAAAAATTAAAAACATAAAAAGCCCTCAACTATTCCACAGCATGTAGCACATCTGAGAGTCTGGTAACCAGTCCATCCTGATGACGAGCTGTCAGCCCCTCAACAGCTAAGGCAGGAGGAGACTGAGGAAACCATGCAGTTGTTCGGCTCACCGAATTCTCAAGGTGAGAGTGCTCTCAAATTCTCTGGTTTCATTCTGGACTAGCCCCAGTCAAACTTCCAGAAAACTGATCTGATGTTCTTATAGGAAGTGAAATTTGAGGCTTACTGAATGCGCCTTGGGAGGCTAGTTCTATTTTGAGATACTGTGGAGTCAACTCAAGGTCCAGTTTTCCTTGAAAACAATATAGTAATTTAGCACTATAGCTAAATAATTACTAAATTACTAGGTAATTTAGTAATATAGCAATATAGCAATTTATATTGACTACATAATTTCAAATAAGCAAGCTGCTTTATACCTAAATTACTAACTTGGTATACCCTCGCACCCAACTTTTTCCAAAAGAGCAAATTAATTATGTATTGTATGTTAACAAATTACTCCAAACACAGTGGCTTAAATACAAACATTTATTATCTCACAGTTTCTGTGGATGAGAAATTTGGGGGTGCCTGTCTGGGTGGTTCTGGCTCAGAGTCTCTCATGAGGTTGCCATCAAGGTGTCAGCAGGAGTCACAGTCATCTGATAGACGAGTTGGAAGACCTGCCCCCAGATGGCTCACTCCCACAGGAGTGGCCGGCCTCGCCTCTAGGTCCTCTCCACTGTGCTGCTTGGGTGCCCTCACAAGATGGCAGCTGGCTTTCCCCAAGTGAGGGATCCCAGACAGAGCAAGGAGGAAGCAATGCCTCTTGTTACTGTGACACACACTGACTTCCTTATTCTATTTGTTGGAAGGGTATCATCACTACATTCAGCCAATACGCAAAAGGAGGGCAAGGAAGCTCCACCTTCTACAGAGAGGCATATAAAAAAAATTGTGGGGAGATTTTAAAACCACCACAAGTAACAAAGCATTATTTCATTATTTGTTAAGAACTTATCAGTACCCACTGCACCTTCCATTATTTTCAAATTAATGTTTTTAACCAACATGATAAATATCTGTCAAATATCCAGGCAGAGAATTCAAGTATATCAATTTCTGGAAGGGCAGGTCCACTTATGGTGAGTTTCCTTAAGATAAACTTCACATTATTAATGGCAACAATAAAACACCCCCATCCCCTAGTCCAAAAGTATATAACATCTCTTCTTAGGCAAGAAGCTAAAATAACCTATGAAGAAATAATAATCACCACCCCAAGTACCCTTCTTTTTCCCAGTTATCAATTAATAATCATTTCTTTCCTGCATAGACATCAATCAATGGTAAAGTACTTTTATTCCACCCTTACTTAAGGGATGTATACAGAGTATAAGAACGGTACATGTCTTCAGTACAGGCCATACTGTGTTTCCCACCTGGTGGATAAAAATTGTACAAGAGCATTCGAAAAACAAAACTTGCTTCATAGATTCTTCATGTGTTAACCCTTCTGTTAACTTTTTATAATCACATCACAAAATTCATGTCTATAGGTGGCTTCCATCTCAAAAAATCCTGCAAAAGTTCTTTCCATAAAGCAAACAATCTTGTTCATAAATATACATTTTTGTGCACACTGCCACCTCTGAAATTCTCCAGGCCAGCAATCTGAACATTACCGAAGACGAGGAAATAATCCAAAAAGTCTTCCAGCAGCCAAAAGATGCACCAGTGTCACACAGTAAAGCCTTGTTAGACCAACAACTGAAAGCCTGGCACGTGGACCCCAATCCTCATTTGTCAAGGGAACTGATAAAGCCCATGTATTTTACTCCAAAGGAGAGTCCTCTTTCTCACCTTATACACTGCTTATAGAAACCTTCCCATCTGAATTCTGATCTTACACCAGGTCAGAAAGGACAAAAAGAAGTGACCCAAGAATGTTCACGTTTGTACTAAGATTGACAGCTGGCAGCAAGTAAGTGTTGGAAAAGAGACACAAAACAAATAGTATCATTCTTGGGGCCAGTCAGTCAGAAACAAGCAGTGCAGTACAACTTGATTTATGACAATAATATGGAGTTATAAGGAAATGGTAGTATTCCACACACTGCTTAAGAATGTAACATATTTTGGAAACATTTTTGATAAGACATTTTTAAAAGTTTTGTTACTTAACAGGATGATTCAGAAAAATAAATTTCCTGAAGTTTCCAAACAATTAAAGCACGATACTTCAAGCAGATGTTAACTTAAAAAATAATTTTGCTACTGCTACATTAAAATAAATAATTGTACTACTGTCACTCACATTTAACACATGTCCTTTAAGAAACACAGACAAATGGAGTTTCTCTGTTCCTTGGTCACCAGTTTGCACTTTAATACACAGGTTCTCTTCTCCCTTTAAATTCTAAAAATTAGGCTTACAAAAATTAAAAAAAAAACAAACTAAAAAAAAAACCTTTCCCAAATTCTACTTCCTAGGTATTTTTTTCCTGTGTTCAAAACAAAAAAGCTAAGCCCTGGCTGGCGTAGCTCAGTGGATTGAGCACAGGCTGCGAACCAAAGTGTCGGAGGTTCGATTCCCAGCCAGGGTACATGCCTGGGTTGCAGGCCATAACCCCCAGCAACCGCACATTGATGTTTCTCTCTCTCTCTCTCTCTCCCTCCCTTCCCTCTCTAAAAGTAAATAAAATCTTTAAAATAAAACAAAAACCAAAAAACAAAAAAGCTACCAAGAGAATGCCAGCTTCTAATATCAATGAGTTTCCTAACTGAAGAGAGGAAGTTTTTCTTACAAAACTTTGGTTTTTAACTGTAACTTAGTCTTCCCAAGGGTACTTTTTCACATAATTTAATTCAATTTAAATGTAATGGACTATCTATGAGTACTTTGCTATGTAAAGGGTAAGACACAGCCCCTATCTAGGAAGAGCCTGGTACTTGTATGGGAAAGGGAGGGAAGGTAGACAGGAGAGAGAGAAGCAAATGCTGTAATAACTTAGTGGAGCTGAAGAAGAGGCTGTGATCACACCCGGCTAAATGAAAAGGACAGCAAATTGCTCACCACTGACCGACTGGTGAGAACAAACTTGCACTCACTCTTGTATATTCCCCACCTTCATCCCTCCTTCCTTCTTCCCCTATAGTAAGCTGTCTGAGCTTAAATGCTTCCAAATACTTTTGATCACTACTAGTAGACTTGGATAAAAATAATAGTGCCAAAGGCCCTAAATGACAAAGGAAAGTCAAACAACAAATAGCACTTTTCATCACTGTGTAGACAGTTTTATATGTGATTTTGCAACCTTAATTATTCTAAGGGGGACCATGGGGGTCCACCCAAGTTCTGGAGGTAAAAAAAGAAATATGATTAGAATTCTGGTGCTTTAAAAAAATTAAGGAAGAAGTCAATAAAGGTACACACTCTTCCAAAGTAAAAAACTACATAATAGCTCTGGAGGGGTACCTAAACCTCTGTTCTCTTCATGACAAAGACAACAATGTGACAAATAATTTTGGCTTAACTATCTTACAATAGTTATTATACAAAGTCTATTTTTATTCTAAGTGAGCCAGAACTCTAGGGAACCTACCAACTTGTCTTTCCCCTCATTCCCATTGCTGTGGTCCTCTTACAGAAATAATGTGTAATGTGTAATGTTTTCCCAACATGTCAGCCATGTGTATGTGTGAACATATCTGTGGGTTTTTCAGAGATATATCTTTTTGCTTTTGGGCTGAATGTGCACACAAGGCAACCCAATCATTGGATAACAGTGTCTACATGGGAACAGAAACCATGTGAAACTGAAATGGTTACTAAACATAGTACAGTTTTAGGTTACTCTAATTATTTGATAAGTCTGTTAGTAAATAGCTAACACATTGCTTCTTGCTCCAACATGTAATAAATTTAGATCTGAAAGTTGCCCATCTCTGATAAAAATTCTGGACCACGTTAACATTAAATAAAATATTTATTGTGATTTTTTCCCCTGTGACATAAGATTGTTTATTTTTCCAAGCTCTCCAAATGACACAGTTGCAGAACCTCTTTCAGCTGGTCTTGCCTGAAAATAATAATAAAATTAAAGACATTAGAAATAGATAAATGTATAGTCCTAACTAAGTGCCTTTATGTTTTATATTTTTAAAAAATCCCCCTCCCTAAGTAAACAAACAATAAAAAGCAAATGGAAACATAAACACACTAAGAAAAGTGATTTGTCGTACTGTTACCTGTGAATCATGATATTTCCATCCTATCATGTAATAGATCTGATATGTGGCAGGTACTGAACCATCCTCATTTCTGTACATTTCTACGAAGACAAATAATGGTCTTATAGTCTGAAAAAATGCCAGTAGGGAAAATAATTTGCTTCATAAAAGTCATGCCCTCAAGAGAAATGGATATTGGGATGCCTTCAAGATTCTGGAAATGCCTTACCTGAAAATTCTCAATACTGGAGAAGCTGATAGTATGGAAATAGTAAGGACTGTATAGAAAAGGGATACAGAGGAACAAGATCTGTGATTTGAAGGAAGGACAATAAGTCCAATGGTGCTTTAACAGGAAAGGACAAAGCACTGGCAATTGTAAGAGATAAACATGACAAGGGACAAGTTCCCCAGTGCATCTGGGTAGCAGACCAGTCGGCTTCCTTACCTCTATACACAGCTGCAGCTGCCAGCATTGTGTCCCGGTGCAGGAGAGCTTTTCTATTCCATGCGCAGTTGCTCTCACCCATACCTAAAAATACACTACAGGCAGTTTGAGATCATACAGCAAATACCCTGAACAGCTCAATCGATACTGCCAATTTAACCTTATGCCATCCAACAGTACACCATTCTCTAATAGTCATATAAAATTACTAAATAATCTCATTTTGCTCTCAGAATGTAATGAAGCTTCTTAGTGACTAAGGCAAAACTACCTGAAGCTTCTGGGTATTAAGACAAGTAGAGAAGTCAAATTTCAGGAGGCTGTGCCCATAAGCACATTTTACTTGTCAGTGATGGTCTAAAGTGAGCCAGCTGGGCAAAAATTGAGGTGAGTGGCCCTCCAGGTGAGTCATCAAGAGTTGGCAAGTGCCTTTCCAAGGATGCCACATTTTATGCCCCTTTTAGCTGCTCTTCAAAGGAGCACAGGACACTGCTACAATGCCTTAGTCCTTCTAAGCCGTAATTGTAATATGATCATGAAACTTGGAAAAGGGCTCTGATGCTCATTAGATTATACCAAAGCTGATGGGTTTCTAAATTTTATAATTCTTCACTAATCCCAGATTAGGAAAAAATTAGGTACATTCTTTTCAGGGGCACTATCTTTAATGTTTTAAAATTTATTTTTAGATTTCTTTCTGCTAAGTTGATAGCTAAAGGCTAGGGTTAATATTATTCTATTGTTCATTAAAAACTAGTGTTGTATATTTGATTCTTCTTTATGCATATACAAACAAAATTATTTTGAAAGGCCAGATTTTAAACTAGTCTTCAAAATTAAAAAAAATTCCAAATCAAAAATCTTTTATATTTATTCTCTATATACTTGTAGAGAATAAATCAGTTTCTTGATTTTGTTTTTCTACTTTCACAAAAGAAAACCAATAAACTTCTCAATATCAATGTTCATTATTAGTTTAAAAATAATAATCTCCCAAGTTTTCAATGGCCTTATTGAAAACAATCAACAAATTAGTGGTAATAAGTAAACCTCATTCTTTCCGATCCTAAAGGCTCCTATTATTCCCTAGAATAATGAATCTCGGATACTAAAAGCAATGTCTCTCATCCTGTGAGTTAAGCAGCCCCAATTCAGGAAGACCAAAAGACAAACAAACCAGGAGATTAATCATCATGAAGAAGAGGGTGGATCTTACTCACTGTCACAAAGCAGCTAGATGATCTTAGACCAATTGCTCCGGGTCTTTAAAGTAGCCAGACTAGATGATCTCTAAGGCTTATGATGCTAACATTTTAGACCCACTACAATCTCATTTTAAAACATTCTCCTATATAGTGAGTATCAACTGTATCAGGAGACCAGAAGTAAACGGGGACTCACATTGGAAGAGTCTGTTGCTGCTAATGGCTGTGGTGCTTTCACTTATGCTTAACTTCCTGCTGCCATGACGTTAGTTAGCAGGAAGCACCAGTGAAAAACAGGTTTAATTTTTTAATGTAAATACTTAATAGGATATACTAATTAAGATTACTAGACATAATGCTTTTTCTGAAGTCTGACCTAGGTCTAACCTAGGCATAATGCTCCTTCTGTTACAGGGATTCAGGAGCATTCCTGGACAGCAGAGACTGAAACTCTGCTGCTAGGTCAGCCCACCCTCCTCTCACAGGGAAGTGCACAGCCATCCTGAACTTCCCTTCTCCTGTGAAGAGTCTAGAATTTGGGATCAAAATCCCAGTTCTGACCCTTTCATAACCTGGAGCAAAGTAATTTAACCTCTATGAAACTGAGCTTTGTGATTTTCAAAATGGCATGATAATACTTCATAATGCATTCTGATGGACCTTTACTAAAGACAACCTGGGAAACACATCTGTGGACTTCTGACCAGCTCTGGGCTTTGACATGATAGAAAAATCTGGAAGGAGGTAACTGTTTAAGATTCTCACAGTGTTTTTAAGGTGAAGTTCAACTGTTTATTAAAAAAATGTAATTTATTCTGGTTTACTAGGAACAATACTGAGTATTGTCTAAAACAACAACAACTGAACTTACCTTAAAACTACTGTGAAAGCCTCCAAAACTTTTCATGCATTCATTGCTGATATACAACTGGTTGTATAAAATCGACATTTTTCTGTGAATTAATAATAATGGCAGCTTAAATGAGAAACACAACCACCAAGAAAAAAGTATAATGCAATGTAAAATACCAAAAACCAATTTGAAGGTAGCACTATCTTCCAGTCTGCAAAGCCGTACACCTGGAAGTCACCCAAGCTTTTACTTTCCTTATCCCCTGACCACTATTCTCCTATCTTAGCTCCCTCTGACCTTTCAGGAGAAGGGTAAGGATTTCAGGGTCTGAGTCAGGCTGCTATGCTGGGTTTAAATACTGGCTCTACTACTTATTAAATACATCACCATGAGCAAGTTACTTCTCTCTGTGCCTCAATTTCCTCATGCATAACAAGAGGTTAACTATACTAACTGTGGTCTTGCCTTCCTCATAAAATATACTCATACACAATGCTGCAGAGTGAGCCCTCTAACACACTAATTTGACTGTCTCTCCTCTGTGCAAAACTTTTCCAAGACACTATCAGGCTCACCTGATAAAATCTAGAAGACTCTAATGGACTATCCTGCATCATTTTCCATCATCTTCCCATTTTACATGTTCAAGCAATACTGAAATACTGTACAGTTCCTTATTAAGGAAGTGTGTATCCTTTTACATCTCTGTAACTCTACACAGGCCATTTCTTTGGCCTAGAATGCAATGCCAACCCTGCCCCAAATCTGCACCCACCCCTTCGTTCTCCTGGCAAGTTCATTTTAGCTTAGGTGCTGCCTCTTCTGCAGAAGCATCCCTTACTCCCTAAGATTTAGGGGCTTTTTCTCCCTGTACTGTAAAAAACAATGATCTCATTTTATAGCTAAATACAGATGTCTGTCTATCTCTGTATCTCTCTACTAGAACATAAGCTCCCTGAGATCAGGGACCATGTTTTCCCATCATTAGCTCACTGGTTGGTTCACGACAGATGCTCAATAAATGGTAAGTGAAAGCATATAAAATCAACCAGTTAATGCTTATATCTACTTTGCTAAATATCACTTTTACAAGTTATCTTTAAATAATTCCTCTTAATCCTACTAAAGATAGGAAACACTGAGACTAAAACACAGGATTTGTGTTAAAGACTTTACAGCAGAAATAAGGACACTGGCAAAAACTTCTTAAAGGTAAATAAAAAGCAACAGTTTCTCAAAAAAAATGATCAATTTAAAACCCAGATTATCAATTGGGAGGGGGCAGAAGGCAACCTTCTAGTGACTAGAAATGCTGTATTTGTTTAGATGGTGGTTAAATTACTAGCAGCTGTATACTTAAGATTAATTCATTTTACTGAACATCTATCTAACTTAATTTAAAAAAAGCCCACAGAGATCAAGTATGTAATATAGGACTCTGGATTCAAATCATAACTCTAGACTTAGTGTGACCATGGACAAGATACTTAACTACTCAATGTCTCAATTTGCTCATCTGTAACATTAGGGTACTAGGAAATATCATAAAATTACACCTAGCATAGAGTAAATACTGTATTTTCAAATCAGTGGGCAGCAACCTCTTTCAACTGACAGGTCTACACTCTCATCTCTCTTTTCTTTCTTGAAATGACTCATGAGCACAGCATTTATTATATAGGAGAACAAAAATAAGTGCTGTATTTGAAAAAAAAATTATCATTACAGTCTGAACAATAAATTACCAGTGCACCACCATCTCTCAAGCTTTCAGGTGAAGGGGCTCCATGATCACATCAGGGGGAGCCAAGTGTGTGGAGCACTGCTCAGGTGGAGTATGGGATTTATTATTGGTTCCTGTCACCTTCGGCTGCATGCTAAGGCTGCCAATCCCTATATTAAATTATAATAAATAAATAGTGACTACAATACTAAATATTCAGCTATACATCTTCCCCTTTGCAATTCTCAGAGGCTGGACAATGCGTAAAATGGACCTGTTACAAACGGGTAGCTACAAGAAGCAGTAGAATCAAGTTAAGAGTGTTCTAGCGCAGGAGTCAAGAAGACAAGAGTCTGGCACCTAACTCTGCTAGGAGGTAAGTGTTCTCTTTAGGCCTCAGCTTTCTCACTTGTAATACAGCAGAAAGGAAGGAGTTACCAGAAGGCTATTGAGAAAAGCAAGTGCAGTAATGCTCACAAAAAAACTATAAATCTGTAAATAAACTGTTTTTATAATCCTTTTGCTTTAAATCATCTTTAATTTTTCAGGATCCAGATTAAGGTTTTCTTGGGTAAATATAGTTCTGGTTTCACACCTTTAATCCATTCAGGTTCCCTACTCATTAAAATTGCTTATGCTATTTGTTTAACAAAAAAATCAAGCCACACTCATTCTCACTGAGGTAAGCTGAGGCTCTCCTTGGAGAAATCACTTTTCCAGTAGCTCTCAGGGGTACACATGTGTCTTTGCAGACCTCATCTCTATCACAGTTGGGGGCTAGGATCAGTGTCCTATAGCTGCTCAAAGCCTCTTCCAGGCCATTACCTCTCTACCCTATGAAAAACCCTTGCCCTGCTGGGACCCACACCGTGTGGCCAGAACCCTCCCCCACTCCAGTTTGCTGTCAGACATCAGGGTCCCAGTCCATCCTTTCATTCATCAAGGGGTTTGCCACTTGGTTCAGTTTCCCTCCATACCTAAGTCCTGCTACCACCATTGGCAACTTCACTGTTAATAACGAACCATCAAGCATCATGGCCTCTAACGGTTTTTAGTCTCCTTACCACTAATGGACTTCTCCATCACACCTATAACATGTTCCAAAATCATCAATTCAAATATCCAATTTTCTGACCATATCCTCCTGTCCTTCAAGCGTGTCCTGGTATTTCAACCATAATCAATTTCTGACCACCTTGGGATCTCTTACTTGTACATGTCTCCTCTACTTTTTGCCAATCCAGTAGCTTATTGTTTTCTTTCTTTCTAGTTAACTTTCCTTCCAGCTTAGATTATTTGGCCTACTATTTCAATTACACTCTTGGAATTTTTTTAATTTTTCAATTACAGTCAATATTACTTTATATTAGTTTCAGGTATACAGTATAGTGGTTAGACATTTATATAGTTTAAGAAGTGGTTCCGCCAGTAATCCTAGTACCCACCTGGCATTAGACATAAGTCATTACAATATTATTCACCATATTCCCTAAACTGTACTTTATATCACATGGCTGCTTTATAATTATCAATTTCTACTTCTTAAACCCTTCATCTTTTCACCCAAACTCCCTCTTGGAATTATCTTTGCCTCTGTTTTTTCATCACTCTCGACTTGCAAGGCCTCAACCCAAACTAACTTTTCTCTTTTGTGCCTGGTGCAGTTGGAGAAAGTCACAAATGTGTTTGACCAACTTCAAATGTACCCTTCAAGTTCTGTAACTTTCCCTGATCAATTCAACTTCCTATTCTCCACAATGATTATTTCAAATTATTTCCACTCAGTTCTCAAACCTCTGATCCTTTCTTTCTCAGTATGAGACATATTTTCTGTTTGACAGATAAAATAGATCCATTAGATGGAAACTTACTGGTACCACGCATAAATGCCATTGAAACTAACCCTTGTCCCTTCCTTTTATGCCACCCCCACCCCATCCAAGGTCAATCCTGCCCCAGACTTTGCATCTCATCCCCTTCCATCTCCTCAGATATCGGACACATCAATTATCCCTTCTCTCTTCTAGAGTCACTACTATGGAAGCACTTAGATTCTTTCAATCAGCAGTTAAACAAATTCAAGTGTTAAGACAAAACAAAATGAAAAACTCACCCCATGTCCTACCCTTCTGTTCCTCTCCAACATCTGTAGCCTTTCCATCTCCTACTTATTCACAAGCTTCTTGAGAAAATAGTAGATATTTGCTGTCCTCACCTTCCACTTAGGCCTCAACCTACCATTGCTTCTACTTCTATCACTCCAACAAAAGAGCTCTCACCATGGTCATAACCTTCTTGTTCCTGAATCTAATGAGCTTTCTTTTCAGTCCATACCTCGCTCCTTTGAGAGCTCCTTTTGTTTTAAACATTTTAGATTCCCTTTGTTTTGAACTTCCCTTGGTTTAGACAATACTAAATTTTCTGTTGTTTCTCCTTACCACCTTGCTAACTGTTCTTCTGCAATCTCTCTATGGGCTCATCCTTTTATGCAGTCACTACATGTTAGGTTCCTAAAGGCTCAGTATCAGTCTCATGATCTCACTCATGCTCTCATCCTAGGCAACTGCTTCAAATGCCACCTATTCACAAATGAGTCACAATTTTTTTTATCCTCACCTGAGGCTATGTTTTATTGTTTTTTTAAAGATTTTTTATTTATTTATTTTTAGAGAGGGGAAGGAAGGGAGAAGAAGAGGGAGAGAAACATCAACGTGAGAGAGAAACATCGATCAGCTACCTCTCACATGCAGCCCAACCAGGTACCAAACCTGCAACTCAGGTGTGTGCCCTGACAGAGAACTGAACCAGTGACATTTGGCTTTAAGGTACAACATCCAACAAACAGAGTCACACTAGTTAGCGCTGTTTTACTGGGTTTTAAAGAAAGAGGAAAGGTTTGGGGGAGGGAGACAGAGGAGACATGAATAGGTTGCCTCCTGTATGTGCCCCAACTAGGGATCCAACCCACAACATAGGTACGTGCCCTGACTGGTGAATGAACCTGCAACTTTTTGGTGTATGGGAAGACATCCCAACGAACTAAGCCACCCAGCCAGGGCACAATTCACAACTTTTTAACCCACATACCCAAACACCTACTTGACATCTCTTCCTAGATATTTCAAACCATTTCAAACCCAACATATCTAAATTCGAACTCAAGAGTTGTCCCAGCCCATGCTTAATCTACTACCGTTTACAGATAAAGACCATATGTCTGGTTATGTTTGCTAAAAACTCAGCAGTTTTGTTTGAGATGTTACTCTCCTTTATCAGAGCATATATAATCCACCAGTGAGAACTGTCAAATTTACCTCCTAAATATCTCTAGAATCCATTCATTCTTTTCATCTCCATTGCCACCACCTTAGTCTTAACTACCATCACTTCTCACAGAGCTTTACTGAAATGTCTCCCTACTAGTTTACCTGCCAATCTATTCTTTTCAAAATATAAATCTGATACCAGAACCCCCATCCTCAAAGGGCATTTTAAGGTAAAGACACACCATCCTAACAGGGACTATAAGGCCCTACTGCAACTCTTCCTTTTACTACTTGTATTCTAGCCAATATACCCTTCTTTCAATTCTTGCCATGCTTTTTCTTGCAACAGGGCCTTTGCACATGCTCTTCTCCTGGCCTGGGAGTCACTTCCTCCCCTCTACTCCTAGTTAACTCATCTTTGTATTTTTATAGCATAATCACTTCTTCAGATAAGACATTGTTGACTCTCTCAGACCAGGACCTATCCCCTTGGCAAATCCCAGTCCTACAGGAACTCCAACTACCTACTTTCTTGGGCCTAGATCTGTACTGCCAACTGGTGCTAAAGAAAGTCACTGATGTGTTCTCCCATCCTCAAATGCACCACCCAAGTCCTGCCATGCTTTTATAGGCAGTCATAGCACTATGTACCTCTACTTCATAGCACTTACAGTAATTCTAATTTAACATTTATCTTTCTAGCAGGTGCCTGATGTCTGCCTCATGCATTTTACATTATAAACTCCATAAAGACAGCCTGCTTGCTTACCAATGTATCCCTAGTGCTTAGCCTCAGGGCTTGCCATAGTGTGAGCTCTCAAAATATGCCTATCAAATGGAGTCTGAAAGTGCTTTGAAGTGCCTCACCTTGTAAATCTTCCATTAATTCAAACATCCCAGGATAGTTAACTTGAATTTCATCAGTATCCTATACAAAAAGAAAGAGAAATATTTATTTGACATTCATCACAATACAGTCCAGATTCAAAATATCATAGAGATTATCCAGACCAATCTTGATAAGCAGCAATCTTCTTTACAATATTCTTCACAGATGTCATCTGACTTATGCCTCACTTATGATGACTTCAATTGCAGAATATTCACTATTTTAAGAGAACTCTTTCTAAACCTCCATAAACTGGCTCTAGTTCTTTCTCTGGGAACACCACAGAATAAGTTTATTCTGTGCTTTGCAAACCAGACTGCCTTCTTCTTCAAGTCAAGAAACTGCCAGGACACTGTAGGGGAACAGCACTGTCTCACCCTAAATATGTCTCTTTAGCATGAAGATTATTTTAGGCTGATTGTTTTTAAAAAACAAAAGGCTCCAGACGAGCTTTTTACCTTAACTGCCTAAAAGAATTTTGATAAAGGGTCTGGCCCAGGAAGAATACTATCACCAGGGATAACCAGAGTATGGGCTAGGTGTGGGAGGGGTAATTTGGCAGGACTTGAAAACCAAAGACCTTTCTGCAGCCCACATGGCATAGGAAACATTTGTTTACCGAACATGTTTGGCCACCTCCACATAAATTGCCTTCCTCTCCTTTGAAGTCCCAGAATCTTACTCCTTCTCTTTAATTCAGAATGCATATAAGCCCCAACAGCCTGTCTCTGGGCCCCATATTCTTATAGAGTTCCCTTACATACAAAATTAGATGATTTTCTCCTATTAATCTATCTCAGGTCAATTTAATTCTTAGACCAGCCAGAAGAACCTAGAATAAAGGAGTAATTTTTCCTCCCTGACCATACTATCATTTTTTAGAGGGAGGAGTTAGTCTTCTAGACAAAACTAATAGATCCTTACACATTCTCATTACATTTTTCTATACACAGTCAGTTTCAACTTCTCTCTTAAAAAATGTGGTACCCAGAATCAAGCCAAACAGGCTCATCTGCCAAGATGTTTTCATTCTATCTCAGTAATGCAGCAATACTGCACTGGCCCTGAATGATATGGGTGCACTGCTGACACATTTAGTTTATTTCTCAAGTAAACTTTTGGGCAATGATGCCCATTCTTTATGAAGTTTGACACAGGGGTTTACTGTTGGTACAGTGGCAGAGACTACTGATGCTCCCCAAATATCCAGGTGCTCCTTAAAATTTCCCAGCCACAAACAGGCATTTCTCTCACCAAAGAAAAGGGGGAGGGGACAGGGTAATAAAGAGTTAGTGAATCTTTCCCAATCTCTTTTGCTCTGGTGACCTTAGAGGACTCATAGGTGAGAATGCTCAATTGTAAGATGGAGATGGGCTGCCCAGCAAGCATGGGGTTGTGATGGAATAAAATTCTGTGCTGGCCACTAAGATCTAGAAGTTTGTCTATATTGAAAACTAGCCCTAAAATACAGTACACCCACTTTTTTTCCAGTTTGAATCAAAGTACTGCACCTATCTCAAACTTATTTTATACGTACTACTTTAGAAGTACCTAGATCTGTGTGTGTGTGTGTTCTGTAACTTTATCTGTGTTGCCTATTCCTCCCAATTTTGGACTTTAATGTTGCACAGAATCAAGTACAAAGCCCAAAAGAATACTTACCAAAAACATCCATTTTAATTCTTAAAGAAAAGTAAAACAAAATGATCACTTTTTTTAGATGATCACTTAATTTTAGAAGTGCAAAACAAAGGGTAAGCCAGAATTCACATACACTGTTGATCAGACATATAAATTGATGCTATCCTTTGGAGAGTAACTTGACCCTATCTGTCAAAATTTCAAATGCATAGATTTTTTGACCCAGTAATTCCTCTGCTAGAAATTGACCTGACAGATGTGCCAATATTATGTGAAAGGGAATTCGCCACAGCAGTCTCTGAAAGGACTAAAAAAAATAAAACCAAAAAAAAAAAAAACAAACCCAAACTGAAAACAATCTCTGTGTCCATTAATGAGGAACTGGTTAAATAAATTAAAGTGTATCTATTTAATGAAATATTGTATAGTTGTTAAAAAGAATGCAGTAGATATATGTGTTTAGGGGAACATCTCCAAGGTATGTTATTGAATTTTTAAAAAATCAGTGCAGTATAGAAAAAGTTTAAAAAGCATGTATGTGTGTGTATATATATATACATATATAGTTGCATATGGAGGTTTTAAGTGATATAATTGTATTTGGGTCTATAAGGAAATTGTTCTGAAAGGATGTATTAGACAGTTAACACAGGTTGTCTCTGGGGAGAGAGACAGGGTGCCAGAAGTCAGGAGGAGGAAACTTCTTTTCACTTTAGACCTACTCTATATTTACCTCATTCTCTCTACCTATACATTTTTTATTTTTTTTTAAATATATGCATGGATCAGGCTGTGTGTGTACTTTTTAATAGGACCATCTCTAGGCAATCCATTTCTTCTATTTTTCTACTTTAAAAAACTATTTTTAAAAAAGATCCTGCCCTGTCTGGTGTGGCCCAGTTGGTTGGACATCGTTCTGCAAACCAAGAGGTCACTGGTTTGATTCCCAGTCAGGGCACATGCCGAAGTTGTGGGTTCAGTCCCAAAATGGGGCACATATAAAGAAACAACTTATTGATGTTTCTCTCCCTCTCTTTCTCTCTCTCTAAAAATAATAAATCTTTTTAAAAAATAAATAAGAGATCCTAAAATTAAAAACAAAATTTTTTCCAAGGTGATACGCAGCCATTAAGCAATATCCTTTGAAAACCATTTTTTAATGAAGCAAATTAAAAGGACTATCTCCATCGCAATCATAAAGAGCACCACCACAGCTTTGTCAAAGGCCTTACTCAAAATAAGATGGACCATATATGCATTTTCTCCTAATATATTAATTTGGCAAGTCTAAAAGGAAATGGCTTCATTTAGAATGCCACCTGACTCTGAAAGTAATTCCCTAAGAGGGCACTATAAATGTAAATATAACTACTTAGTTTTAATTTCACTTAAAAGAAACCATTGCAGTATAATAGTAATATATCTAATATTGTATGCAACATAAATCTGTATAATTGATTATATAAAAGCTTTTCTGGATGGAATATTTAAAAATGAATTAGAATACAATGTTAATACAGCACTTTAGAGACAGGTGTATGTCTCAAGGAACAAAGTCACAGATTTATTATTAAAACAACGTCTTTCTAATTTTATAAAATACAAAGAAGATTCGACACCAATATTTTGTATTATATTAATGTTTCAGTCATCCAGTTCATTTTTGAAGAATATGGAGGGTATTCTGAATTAATAGCTTTTCCAATTAACAGAAATGTAGGCTTTTAAATGCTGTATCAGGTTAGCATTTTTAGTAGAAATCTTTCTGAAATGCACAATTCACTTATCAACCACAGAAAACTGCATGGATTAACATTATTTAACTTTCAAGACTCAGGATAGAAGTCCTATCTTTTTCCTAATAGGCAACAACTCTGGAGCCCCCTAAGGCGTCATTGACTACTAACCTGTGTGGCATGGTACAAATTTTTAACATATCCCCATGAACATTTGTACTACACATATTACTTCCATTCCCTACATCCCCTCTTACTCTTTTCAGCATCTTTTTACTTTCCCATTCATGACTCTCTTCAGTTCACTTCAGTTTGTAACATAGCAATATGAGAGGCAGTCCTTGTTTTTTTTTGTTAGAAATTTTACTCATCTGCTTGCAGGGGGTGGGTAGGGAGAGAAACATCGATGGAAGAAACAGACTGGTTACCTCTTGCATGTGTCCCAACTGGGGACCAGACTGGGAATTGAACAGGCAACCCAACCTGCAACCCAACTGACTGGGCCACACAGACCAGAGCTGGGAGGCAATTCTTAAAAGGGTTAACTGTAAAGATAACCTTTTCCTTATTATAAGTAAATTGAATACTAGAGATTAATGCTTGAAATCAGTAGATTCTGATCTATTTTCAATCACAGTCCTCTCTCAAGATGTAGTAAAAAATATGGGCCCTTTTCTACACATACAAACAACAAAAACTATGTTTCCTTACAACATCCAGTGTTATTGGACCCTCTAAAGTCTACTGACAGGCCCTCTATAAATTCAAGAAAATCAGGCAGGGATTTCTGTTTTGTTCAATTGCTATATCCAAAGTACCTAGAATAGTGCCTGGCACAGAGGAGGTACTCAATAAATGTTTGTTGTAAGATTGAATAAATAAATGAAAACAATATTCATTTGAAAGAATAGTCATTTCAGAATTGTCTCTCTTGGCAAAAAAGACTACCAACAACAAAAAACTGGAACAAACCTAATGTTCATTAGGGAAATAGTGAAATAAAACTGTGGTACAGTCTTACTAGAGAATAATGTGCAGAAGTTAAGGAGGGCAAATATATTCACATTGATTTGGAAAACAATCTAAAATATTCTATTAAGAATGAAAAATAAGTTTCAGAAATATGCGTTGCTCTATATATAGTATGGTATATGTACCATATACCATACTATATAGTATGGTATAGCATATATATAGTATAGTATGGTATATACTATATATATGCTGTATATAGTATAGTAGAGTATGATAATAGCTACTTCTAGGGCAGCAGATCTCAGCGTGGTTTGGGGACTCCTTGGGTCCCTGCTGCCCTAGAAGTAGCTGTTATCATATTCCACCATTCTATATATCTGACTCTTTCACCTCTAAATCTCATGAATATGCAATGGGATTTTTCAGAAATTACATGACATGTGGTATTGCAACACATGTAAACACAGAAGCACCCTGCCTGGTGTAGCTCAGTGGATTGAGTGCAGGCTGTGAACCAAAGTGTTGCAGGTTCGATTCCCAGTCAGGGTACATGCCTGGGTTGCAGGCCATGACCCCCAGCAACCGCACATTAATGTTTCTCTCTCTCTCTCCCTTCCCTCTCTAAAAATAATAAAATCTTAAAAACAAAAAGATATCTTAAAAAAAAACATAGCAGACACAAGAATCCAGCTTTTATTATGACATGTTAAAAGAATATGTAAAAATGTAAAGCAATGATATTCTTTTTTCTCATTTTTTTCTTTTTGAAAATATAGTTCTTTTTCACACAAAAAAATAGTTACTTATGTTACAATGTAATTGGTACTGGTATATCATTAGCTTTAAAAGAATAATTACTAAAATTCAGTTTTAATTTCTAATATAGTTAATGCTGGCAGATATAATGCACATAAACAAAAGCCTCTTAAGGTCTTCAGTAATTTTAAGTGTGTAGAGGGGTCATAAGACCAAAATTTTGAGAATTGTTGCTTTCAGGAGAAAACTAAGATTTTTGGGGACTAAAGGAAATGACAGTTTCATATTATCTATAGTGTGTGCTGTTTACAACCAAATACATTTGTGTTAAAACCTATGTAATTAAAAATGTATTAAAAATATACAGTGATTCCCTCAATGTACCACTGCCTATATTGAGTGTTTGTTTTAATTACAAAGCAGAATCTTCACATAAAGCAGTTTTCCCATTTTCAGCTGCCTAACATCTCAGGATGCAGTTTCTATTGACTTGTGCTTTTTACAAGTTTACAAAATACAAAAGTGAAATCTTAAGGGCTATTATCACTTTGTAGCCTATTGTCTCTTCCTTCCCTGAAAGTCCCTTTCCAATACCAGAGGCCCTGGTCTATGCCCCACCTTTCTATCAAATTAAGGAAGGTTAGGACAATCCATTTTTGGTTGGCTGATTTTATGAAATACATTCACACTAAATTACCTTACACATTTATTTTGATTTTAAACTTACTGTCTCTACTTATCCAATGAGAAGCTTTTCTTCATCAAGAAATTCCTATTTTGTCCTGGCTGGTGTGGCTCAGTAGATTGAATACGGGCCTGTGAACCAAAGGGTTGCTGGTTGGATTCCCAGTCAGAGAACATGCCTAAATTGCAGGCCAGGTCTCCATTAGGGGGTGCTAAAGAGGCAACCACACATTGATGTTCCTCTTCCACTCTCTCCCACCCTTGCCCCCTCTAAAAATAAATAAATAAAAATCTAAAAAAAAAAGAAAGAAAGAAATTCCAATTTTTTCTAATCAAGTTTAGAGATGTTTCTAGGCCTGAGGGGTTCAGACAACGATAGCAAGTCTACTCAGCAAACTCTGAAGGCAGTAATAGCATCCTTTAGAATTACTCTGCTATTGAAAGGAGCTGGAAGGGGGTAATCATTTTCTCTCCAGATGACCTGTTGATGGAAGTGTTAGCCTGGAGAGTGCTAAGAGTAGAATGAGGGAGAGAGAAGAGGACAGGAGCTAATATTTACTGAGCATCTGCTGAGGTGCAGCCACTTCACACCCTTTAAACCCTAACAGCCACCCAAGGTGAGTAATATTTACATTAAAAAATAAAAATTAAAAACAAAAAAGAATGCTCAGAGAAGTAAAATAAATCTTTCAATTCCCCTCACTAGTAAAGGGGCAAGGTAAGGATCCAAATTATCCCTGTCAGACACCCATGCCCTCTTCTATCACTGTATCATGCTGACTCCATGTTTCTTCTACACTGAAGGCCTATGGGTCCACTTTCCAGATCTCTCCAGCCCTAATGGAGTACAGCCCCATCCTACATTCTCTAACCCTTGTGAATGCACATTCTCTCATTTCTGGTTCACATGGCACTATTTCAATTGAGGACTGGAGATAGAAGTAATACTGTAAACTCTCCTGTGTATCCCCTTTTCCCTAGCTATGTCTTAAAACATAGCCTCCTTGTTAACTGAGGTAGATTGTTTTTCAACTACTATTCAAGTAACTAATACTAAGAATTTTACATTGCTACTTTGTGTCAATCAAGATGTGTTTATACAAATTAAATTTTAAAAGAAAAAGCGCCAAAACGTACCAATAATAGCCTCGATACCTACAGTTTCTATCCTTAAAATGAGAAGTTGCTTCTGAACTATGTAATTAATGGGTTACCCAATTCTCTTGATAGTTACCACAGTCAGTGTATTAAAGCCAGCTTTCCCAAGCAAATGTCCTAGGTCACTGACAGCAGTGAAAGGAGAAACGTGTGGAGAAAATCCTCCTTCCCTTTCCGTTTCTGCTAATTGTAGTGAACACCGAAGTTCATAGAGAGTGTCGCCTCCAAACATTGCACCAATAAAAACTCCATCTGGTTTTAAAACATAATGAATCTGAAATAAATACAAAACAACATAACTATTCAAAATGTTACATATAAAAATGGTAAAAATATATTATTTTTATAACTAAATCAGTATTTTATGATTACCATTCTTATTTTGTCAAATTAATAATTAAATAATTTAATAAATAACACCTACGGCAACAACCGTCAAAAAGGCACTGCAGTATAATATTGTTATAAAGATAGATAATATGTATATTGACACTATTAGTATGTATAAAATATATGTTTTAAAAATTTTTAAAAATAGATACAACTTACCTATATTATCAAAAAAATACTGAAGGGAAAAATACGATAGTGTGGTAGACTGCAAAAACTCACAATTCTCTCTGTATCTGTGCCCTCTGAAATGCCACTCTGTAACAACTCCCATCAAGAGATGGAAGTTGTCCTTGAATATGGGCTGGACTTGTGACTTGCTTTGGCCAAAGGAATGCAATGCAAGTGACAGTGTGTCAGTGTCAAGACAAGGTCTCAAATGGCCTTGCATGCTTCTACCTGTTCTCTTGGAGCTTGGTCTGGCCATCATGTTGTGAACAAGCTAGTCTGGTGAAGGATGAGGAACAAGAGGAGCAAAGGTAAGCCTCCCAGCTGAGGCCGTCCTTGACCAACAAGCTACAAGACAATCCAGCAGCAGATCACAAACACATGGATAAGCCAAGCCAGAACCAGAAAAAATTCCTAAATCCAACCAAAAATCTCAATCCACAAAATCATAAGCTAATTGTTGTTGTTTTAAACCACTAAGCTGGGGTGCCTTGAGCTGCAGAAAAAGCTAATTGATAGAGAAACAATTATAATTCACAGTAACCTGGAAACACATTAGTTTTTCTTAAGGAGATGTAACTAACTTACTTTCTAGTTTGAGGACAAAAACACTTTTTAACCGGTAACTTAAGCAAAATAGTGGCTACAATGAAGTCCAGAATTGCATTTGTTTACTCACTGACTCTCAGACCTACAATCTGTAACTAGGTCTGACTGGCTATTCTCAACAAAGAGAAACATTACAGGAAAGGATGGATTCTGAAGTAAAGCAGGATCCAAATCACTGCAGGCTGTTTTAATCAAAGCATCCACCTTGAATCTATAGTAAATATATTTAATGATATATCTATCACAAAATATTTTTGAAATATTTTGTTACAAATATATTTATATTACAAAATATAAAATATACTTATTACAAAATATGAAGCAATTACAAAACAGTATATAAGCAGACCAACTGTAAAATTATTGGTTTCCTCCCTTCTGCTCCTTTAATGTTACTTCCTTCACTAGTCACCAAACTCCAGTATAGGAAGTACCTAATATTTAGCAGCTCTGAAGCTTCTCTCTACCTCAAGAGGGCTTATCAATTTTCATGGATTTCAAAAGGATTATTTTCCAAACTTTATCTTTAGCTTGTACATCTTCCCAGAACTCTAAACTCATGTTCAACTTCCTGTGCAATGGACATTTGTCTCTTGGCAAACACATTCCCCAACATGCCCAATACATACACAACCTTATTTGTAAACCAACTCCCCTTTACAATCACCATATTTCTGTTAATTATCATTTTCTACACCCTTTATCTGATCATAATCATTGCTTCTGCTTTTACTAATTATTCTCCCAGGCATCCAGACTCAAAACTTCAAGGTGAGCTTTGACTCCTCCCTCTGATCTTCAGATCTAACCAGCCACTGTGGAGTCTTCCTTTGCAGAGTCCTTCAATACCTCCCTCTTCCTTTTAACTCCTATCATAGCCACCTAAGTTTAGTTTACCTCAAGCCTGGACCACTAAAACAATCTCGCTTCCACTGAGTCAACTTCTGACAAGTTTTCTAATCAACAAAATGAAGTCATCTGGCAGAGTTATTTAACAGATATAAAAGAGCACAGTAATTGGCAAATAGCATGTGCTTAAGATATGGTAGTTATTATCTTTTAAAAATATTTTTTATTGATTATGCTATTACAGTTGTCCTATTTCCCTCCTTCACTCCCCTCCACCCTGCATACCCTACCACCCACATTCCCCTCCTTTAGTTCATGTCCATGTGTCACACATGTAAGTTCTTTGGCTTCAACTTTTCCCATACTGTTCTTACCCTCCCCCTGTCTATTTTCTACCTACCATCTATGCTATTCTCTGTACCTTTTCCCCCCCTCTCCCCCTTCCACTCCCCTGTTGACAACTCTCCATGTGCTCTCCATTTCTGTGTTTCTGTTCCTGTTCTAGTTGTTTCCTTAGTTTGCTTTTGTTTTTGTTTTAGGTGTGGTTGTTAATAATTGTGAGTTTGCTGTCATTTTACTGTACATATTTTTTATCTTCTTTTTCTTAGATAAGTCCCTTTAACATTTCATATAATAAGAGCTTGATGATGATGAACTCCTTTAACTTCACCTTATCTGGGAAGCACTTTATCTGCCCTTCCATTCTAAATGAAAGCTTTGCTGGATAGAGCAATCTTGGATGTAGGTCCTTGCCTTTCATGACTTGGAATACTTCTTTCTAGCCCCTTCTTTTCTGTAAGGTCTCTTTTGAGAAATCAGCTGACTGTCTTATGGAAACTCCTTTGTAGATAACTATCTCCTTATCTCTTGCTGCTTCTAGAATTCTCTCCTTCATTTTAATCTTGGGTAATGTAATTATGATGTGCCTTGGTGTGTTCCTCCTTGGGTCCAACTTCTTTGGGACTCTCTGAGCTTCCTGGACTTACTGGAAGTCTATTTCCTTTGCCAGATTGGGAAAGTTTTCATTTACTATTTGTTCAAATAACTTTTCCACTTGTTGCTCTTCCTCTTATCCTTCTGGTACCCCTATAATTCAGATGTTGGAACATTTAAAGATGTCCTGGAGGTTCCTAAGCCTCTCCTCATTTTTTTTGAATTCTTGTTTCTTCATTCTTTTCTGATTGGATGTTTCTTTCTTCCTTCTGCTCCGCACCGTTGATCTGAGTCCCAGTTTCCTGCCCATCATTACTGATTCCCTTTACATCTTCCTTCATTTCAACTAGTGTAGCCTTCAGTTTTTCATCTAATTTGCGACCAAATTCAACCAATCAGAGCATCCTGATTACCAGTGTTTTTAACTATGTATCTGATAAGTTAGCTACCGTCTTTGTCACTTAGTTGTATTTTTTCTGGAGTTTTGATCTGTTCTTTTGTTTGGGCCATTTTTTTTTTGTCTTCATGTGCCCGTTGCATAGTGAGGGGTGGAGCCTTAGGTGTTCACCAGGGCAGGGTAACCCACGTCGCTGGGTTGTGACGCTGTTTGTGGGGCAGGGGTCTGAGAGGGAACAATGGCACTTGCTCCACTCTCTGCCAGCTTTCAGTCACTTCTCCCGAGTTCCACAAGCAAATTGGGCCCTGCTGGTACCAATTCCCATGTGGGTGGGTTTGTGTACATTCTAGGACCCTGTATGTCTCTCCAATAAACTTTCCTGTGAGGCTGGGAGTTTCTCCTGCTGCCATCTTAACCCCCACAGGTGTTTTCAATCAGTGGTTTGAGGCTTTATTTCCCAAAGGTGGGACACTGGGTTGTGTGGTCCATCCTGCTCCCACTTTGTTTTGCCTGGTTTATCTGCTTGCGAATGTGGGACCACCCAGTCCACCAGCCTCCCCCTTGCTGGCCAGCTGCCGCCTTGCAGCCAGTCCTCTCCGCCTCAGCTGCCCGACTCTGCCCCTCCTACCGGTCTGGATGAATGTGTCTTCCTTAACTCCTTGGTTGTTGGACTTCCATACTGTTCGATTTTCTGTCAGTTCTGATTTTTTGTTTTTAAGTTGTTGCTGTCCTTCTTTTGGTTGTGCAAGGAGGCACAGTGTGTCTACCTATGCCTCCATCTTGGCTGGAAATCAAGATATGGTAGTTATTATTGTGCCCACCAGCTTTGTAATTATGTCACTTTCCTCTTGAAAATTCTCCAGTAACTCTGAACTGCATAAAAAATAAACTCCAAATTCCTTAATCTGTCACCCAAGTCCTCCTAAACCTAGTCCCCATATACCTCATCCCTAAGCACTAATAAGCTAATCCTCCAAACAAGCTTACTGTTTGTCCTTTCTTATTTCTGGGGCTCTTATACCCCTCACCTATCTGATCTGTCTTTCTGGAATGCCTTCTCACTCCAAACCTGACCAACCCTCTAAGGCCCTTTTTAAGTAATTCCCTCTTCTTGAAGCTTTCTTGGCAGATCCAAGCGAAAGTGACCTCCTTCCCTCCCCTGAACACAGTGCTTTTTACCTACCACCAATGTGTTCACTGATAAATATCAACCAATGAACATTTACCTAGGACTCTCTAAACATAAGGCATGAGGAAGATATAAATATAAACAAATAAGTTCCTATCTACAAGAAATTTATAGGCAATTAAAAAGAAAAAACAACCCACTCAGAAAATGTCTTATAATATCAATATTATTTTGTAGAAGTTACTAAAGTTTTCATAAATATTTAAACATCTCCATAAAAAGATTTTCTGAATTGCCAGGGAGAGAGAAAATCACCCAATATATTTCACATGTCAAAGAGCACCAAGTATATCCAGCCCACAGAACCTAATAATCCTTACTTGATTTGCTTCAACTTCCACTTGTCAGAAGTATAAAATTGAAAACATCTGTAAGTTTCCATGTGAAAAGAGAAACATCTAAAAGTTTCTAGTAATAAATAAAATAACACAGGCTATTAGAATTAATGTTAAATTTCTTACCTGTTCAAGTGCTCCAGGAAGGTCATTCACCCAGTGCAAACTAAAATATGAAAATACACATTTGTTCTAGCTTAATTTATATAATTAATAAGCATCACTAATATAATGATAAGCCACAAGAAAATGTGTACACTATTGGTGGGAATGTAAACAGAGAAAGAGTATGGAAGTTCCTCAAAAAAAAAAACAAAAAACAAAACTGAACTACCATATAACCCAGCAATTCCACTTCTGGGTATATATCCTAAAGAAATAAAAAATGTTTTATTCCAAAGAGATATCTGCAGCCCGATCTTCAGTGCAGCATTATTCACAATAACCAGGATGTGGAGACAAACTAAGTGTCCATCAATGGATGAATGGATAAATAAAATGCTACACATACACACACACAAGAATATTACTCAGCAATAGAAAGAGGGAAACCCTATCTTTTGGGACCATATGGAGGGGCCTTGAGGGTAGTCCATTTCTGAAGAGGAAGTGAAGTGATCAGAGGAAGGAGAGAAATCAATATAGTTACAGGACTGTGGAAGAAAAAGGAATAACAACAACAACAACAAAAATCAGTATTTTGTGCCAAGTGAAATAAGTCAGACAAAGAAAGAAATACTGTATGTTCTCATCTATGCACAGAATCTTTAAAAAGCCAAACAGAATAGAATGGTGGTTTACCAAGGGCAGGACATTGGGGGATACAACCTCTGAGATATAAGATGAGTAAGATTCGGGGATCTAATGCACAGAATAGTGGCTATAATTAACAATACTGTATTATACACTTCAAGGCTTTTGAGAGTAAATCTTAAATGGTATCACCACACACACAAAAATCATAATAATGTGGAGATGAAGACATTAACTAACCTTACTATGATAATCATTTTGCAATATACACATGTATCTGATCTCTATACTGTATACCTTAAACTTCCATGTTATATATCAATAATAATTCAATAAAGCTGGGGAAAAATAAAGTGAAAGTCATTCCTATCCAGCATCTCATCTTTAGTGCTATTCTGAAAACGTAATTGAAGAAAACAGTAAAAATAACTACTCGATGACAAGTTCAAAAAGTTCATCAACTAAATCAAGCAATTAAGCTACAGACATGTATATTCTAAATCCTACCTTCCTAGAATAAACTAAAATTCACAAGAAAGCCTGTAATTTTCCCAAGGTAAATAGTACTATTCATTGAAAAATTAACTCAGTGAGTTTTTTAAAAAATATATTTTATTGATTATGCTTTTACAGTTGTCCCATTTCCCCCCTTCACTCCCCTCCACCCTGCACACCCTCTCCCACCCACATCCCCCCTTTAGTTCATGTCCATGTGTCACACTTACATGTTCTTTAGCTTCTACATTTTTCATACTGTTATTACCCTCCCCCTGTCTATTTTCAACTTACATTCTATGCTACTTATTCTCTGTACCTTTTCCCCCCCTCTCCTCCTCCCACTCCCCTGTTGCTAACCCTCCATGTGATCTAAATTTCTGTGGTTCTGTTCCTGTTCTAGTTGTTTGCTTAGTTTCTTTTGGTTCTGCTTTAGGTGTGGTTGTTAATAATTGTGAGTTTGCTGTCCTTTTACTATACATGTTTTTTTTAATCTTCTTTTCTTAGATAAGTCCCTTTAACATTTCACAAAATAAGGGCCTGGTGATGATGAACTCCTTGAACTTGACCTTATCTGAGAAGTACTTTATCTGCCCTTCCATTCTAAATAAAAGCTTTGCTGGATAGAGTAATCTGGGATATAGGTCCTTCTCTTTCATAACTTGGAATACTTTTTTCCAGCCCCTTCTGGCTTGTAAAGTCTCTTTTGAGAAATCAGCTGACAGTCTGATGGGAACTCCTTTGTAGGTGACTGTCTCCTTATCTCTTGCTGCTTCTAGGGTTCTCTCCTTCATTTTTACCTTGGCTAATGTAATTATGATGTGCCTTGGTGTGTTTCTTCTTGGGTCCAACTTCTTTGGGACTCTCTAAGCTTCCTGGACTTCCTGGAAGTCTGTTTCCTTTGCCAAAATGGGGAAGCTCTCCTTTGTTATTTGTTCAAATACATTTTCAATCTGTTGCTCTACCTCTTCCCCTTCTGGTACCCCTATAATTCGGATGTTGGAATGTTTAAAGATGTCCTGGAGGTTCCTAAGCTTCTTCTCGTTTTTTTGAATTCTTATTTCTGCATTCTTTCCTGTTTGGTTGTTTCTTTCTTCCTTCTGGTCCACTCTATTGTTTTGAGTCCCACTTTCCTTCCCATCACTATTGGTTCCCTCTGCATTTTCCTTCATTTCTTTTATGGTAACCTGCATTTGTTCATCTAATTTGCAACCAAAATCAACCAATTCTGTGAGCTTCCCGATCACCAGTGTTTTGAACTGTGCATCTGATACATTGGCTATTTCTTAGTCACTTAAAAGGATGAGTCCTGGAGCATTGACTTGTTCTTCTGTTTGAGCCCCCCCCCTTTTTTTTTGGTCTGGTCACTGCTGTTATGGTGAGGGGCGGAGCCTTAGGTGTTCACCAGGGCTGGGCACCCCAGTCACTAGATTGTGACATTGTATGTGAGGGCAGGGTCAGGAGGAAACAATGGCGGTAGCCCCGTTCTCCTGGGACCTCAGTCTCTTCCCTGGGATCCTGGGTTGTGCGCTCTGCTCTGGTCCACAATCACTGCCTCACTGGGTCTGCCAGTTGCTGCTTTCGTACCCAGGGTCCACCCGCCACTACCTTGCGCACCCCAGATGCCTTACGTGCTCCCAGTTGCCTTATGTGCCCAACTCTCTCTGCTCTCAGCGCCTGGACCTGCGCCTGGCTACTCATCTCTGCCCCTCCTGTCAGTCTGGATGAATGGGTCTTCTTTAACTTCTTGGCTGTCCAACTTCCATTCAGATAAATTCTCTATCAGTTCTGGGTGTTATTCTGCCTGTAAATTGTTGTTGTTCCAATCTTGGTTGTGTGTGGAGGTACGGTGCATCCACCTATGCCTCCATCTTGTCTGGAAGTCAACTCAGTGAGTTTTCTAATAAATAACACCCCATGTGTTTTGAGATCATCAAATAAAATTACAGACAACCCCAGAGCTACATATACTGCAAACTTAGTTGAAGAAACCCTTGCATCATCTTTTGGCCCTTTTTACCTTCCCCCAGCTTGTAGTGATATGTGACAGCAAAAATCACAGTCTCTGTAAAATAGTCACACTTTCTTAGTGGAGTTGGAATCCTTTATGCTGACTTCCAAGATAGTACTGAAAACCCATTTCAAACCATACTGTGTTAGGCTCACATTTATCTTTCATTAATACTGTCTAACTATATTACTAGATACTTTAAAAATTAAGGAGGTCATGTTATAAGCTCTATTAAGGGGAAACTGAAAGCAACAGAGTTAGTTACTTGCAAATAGCAAGCAAGCTAAAGTTAAAACTTGGATTCTGACTCTCCACCCAGAGTTCTTTCCCTTAGACCAAGGGCTCTACAATGTTTTTCATTTCATGACAGATTTTCAATACTTTTCAAAATTTGTTCAGCAATAGAATCTGAATACTGCTTCAAGTTTTCTCAGCACACCTCAAAAAGCAGGGAAGAAGTTACAAACTCACTGAAGAAAACAGGAAACAAGACCAACTCTGTGTTTGCCCAGGACTGAGGAGTATCCTAGGACATAAGCCTTTTAGTGGTAACACTGGCAAAGTCATGGGCAAACCATTATGACTGGTTATCCTAGAAACAGCTATCAAAAGGGTTGTATTAAGCATGTTGAATCTTTGAAAGAAAATCTGACTACAACGATAAGGCAAGAGAACTAAGGTACCATGTAAGCTATTTTATTTTCTCTCTTAGACACTAAGTTACTCTTTGAAGACAAAGAGTGAACTTATGTCTGTATTCCCCCAGAGCATCTAGCTCATTGCCTTGCATATTATAATCTATTCAATAAATATTTGTAATACATGTTTGCATAGTAAGTGTGGTAAGACATGGTAGAAAGAACAAAGGGAAAAAGGTAACCTTGAGGAGTATATTTCTGTGAAGCAGAAGAATTAAAGTTGAAGGAAATCCCAGCTTTTCCTTATTTATTAGAATGGATTTATAAAGGTGCTCTAATATTTGAATATTGGAATTAGCATACTCTTTCAAACTCCTGCTCTCATCAATATTAATTCCAGAATACTAAGTTACATTGGGGAGAAAAACCCTTCTATCACAGATAAGCTTTAGCAAATAGAGGGAGATTCTGGGAAAAAAGTTGGGGTACTGTATCATATTATCTCTTCTAGGGAGCATATAGCCACAGTCCTTTACCAGAAAAATTTTAAGAGTTTATAAACCAAAACAAACAAACAAACAAACAAAAAAACACTTGGGTTGTGACTTAAAAAGAAACAGCATTAGATTTTACTCCATTATCTATTTTATTTATAACATCTATTTTTTAAAAGTACAAATGGATTACCAACCTTAAACTGCTAACCACCAGGTCAAATGTATTTTCTCTGAAAGGAAGGAATTCTTCATCAGCTAAAACAGTGACAGTAGGAATTTCCGTTTCTAAGGTATTTTTCTAATGGTTAAAAAATAGAAGTTCAAAAACACATTTATAAAATCTCAATTATACTCAATCACTGTTTGTTATACTTAAGTCATATTATATTTACTTGGTAGTTTCTATTCCTCCCCAAAAAATGGAGTCACAAAGAAGGCTCTAAAAAAATACTTCTTAAATTACACTTAAGACCAGCCAAAAAAACTGGCTAGCTGGTTAACAAAACATAAATAGGTCAGCTATCTCACATGAAAACATATCTTATAAAACTCAAAGTTTAAGTGGAGTAACTGAAGCCATAAAAGTACTAGGTGAAAATAGTGGTGAACATTTTTATACTCTCCAATGAAAATGTGTAAGTAATCATGACTCAAAAGCCAGAAACTATAAAAAAAAATTGACATATTTGATAAACTAATCAAAAACTTCGAAACAGCAATAAACAATGTAAACAGCACACTTGGGAAAATATTTACAACATATATGATAGAAGGTTAATATCCCTAAAAAATAAGCTAGAATAAAAACCACTTAGAATAAAAGTAAATAAAGGATAAGGTACAGACACATCACAAAATTATAAAATTCACAAATCAAAAAATACCAATAGCCAAATATCACTAGCCAAAAGACATCAACAGATATTTGGTTGTACTAGTCATCAAAGAAATGCAAGTAAAAATAACGAGATTCTACTTTCTGCCTATCATATTGACAAACACAAAACAACTGGCTCGATATTGCCATAGAGAAGGAGAAAAGAATACTTTCACTTAATAGTTATTCAACCTTTCTAAGGTCAGTCTGGAATCCATAAATTTCAATATTAAGAATTTATTCCCAGAGAGAAGATAAATAAAACACACAAAGTTGCTTTATACGATGACATTGATCACAATATTGGTTATTGAGAAACTGGAAATATAACTGTCCTTCAATTCAAATTTAGCTAAATAAACCATGGAATATTCACATGGAACACTATATAGCCATTTAAAACAACGGTGTGTGTATGTGTTTGTATGTCATGCACTGATATATAAAAAGAGTGACATTCTGTGAAAAACATGGTATGTTAGCATAATACAGTTGGTATGAAACTGTATGAGATAGTTAGACATCTACAAAGGAGGAGACCCAAAATGTCACCAGTGGACATCTTGGAGTGGTAGGACTAGATATGATGTTCCCTTATGTTTCCTGTATTGTTTAATTCTTTTTCAGGTGTTATTAACTATAATTAGGAAAAAGCTATTTCCATTGAAAAAGAAATAAAGAACTAAAAATCAAACCAGGAGATCAAAAACTAGTGTTAAAAAGCTACTTACCAAAGTATTTTCTGCTATGTCTGCTTGGAAAAACTTTCCAACAGTTTCCTGCAATAAAATAATTAAAGCTGATTCAATGTTACAAAAACAAACAAACAAAAATCCAGTAACAATAAAACAAATGCTAAAGTTTCTAAAAGAGAATGTGACAGTTATAGATTAATTTTTAGCTTTGTAAGGGTATTTTTCTGCATCAAACCAGTGCACAGATACCTTTAATAACACACATTAAATTACACAGATTTAAATATATGAAGCCCACCTTACACTTAACATACTTAAATATATTTAGTAAAATAGACAACACAGGTGTGAATAATCAATATCCTTAATTTCCTCTACTGGGTTAAGGCATATGTATTGCCTTTTCCAAAGCATAGTATGCTGTGAGCTATTCCCCACTCTTGTGCCACAGATTTGCATTGGTTTTCCTGACTTTTAGTTATTTATTCGGAGATTACAAAAAGTAGACTTAAATACTGAGACCTGGGGAGTGGGGGGACACTAAGCATTTTTTTTTCACTGTTTCACCTACCCTCTTTTCCTGCAAAGAGGAACGAGTACTATATTTCTCTCCCAAATTAACACCATCTACTACATTCTCTTTTCTCCAGGATCCAGCTCCCTCCATCACCATCTCTACTGGTCTTCAGTTTCTATCTTGTGTCTCTTCCCTCACCTTAAAACAGATAGATGCCTCCCAATCTTCAAAAATCTCCTTTAACCACCTTCTAGATGTTCTGTTTGACAACTATAACTCCACTTCTCACTAATGTCTTTCTCTCCAATTTCCATTTTCACTGCTCTATGAAAACTGTAAAGATCATTAACAACCTAATCACCAACTACACAGTCTATCTGCTCAGTCCTACTTCACCTGACCTCTTTGATGTGTTGCACTGTTGATGGTCTATTAGAAATGACTACTTTCTACCCTTGTTCCCCTCTTCCACTAGAAATGCCAATCTTTTCCACTTCACCCATTTCCATTTCTTAAAGAACTTCCCTGCCCACAAGTTGGAAAGGTTACCCACTACGTGGCCACCTGAGGACAAGTGGTGTATGGGTGAATGTTTAACTACAAGCTCTCAAAAAGAGGTGCCCTGAGTTGTAGTGTTTGCCAGTTCCCATGGTGTAAGTACTCCAATAGAGGATTTCATGATACCAACATGATGCTGCTAAATGTAGAGTTGGGAAGAGATGTGCACAATAGGTTCTCATAAGTCAGCTCTAGTATACCAGTGCAAGGAGTAAAAATTAGGCCAATCAGACTATCTATTTCTCTCTCTCACTCAAAAATTTAAATTAATAGACTCAAAGATGGGGTAGAAGTCCCCAGAGTTGGAACGGAACGTAGACTTGGAGTGGAGGCAATGGAGTGCTGGTAACTATTTAGTAGCTGACTTTTGCTGGAGGACTGCTTGGTAGCATTTGCCAACTTTCTTAGTGCAAATACTCCAAAGCTGACTTCAATGCTAATAATCAGCTCTCATGAGCCAGTATAAACTAATTGCAGCTCACCACTGCGTGTAGCTTGCTCATATTGGGGCCACATGCACTAATGAACAACCAGGAATAGTCTGCAGGGAAATACAGGGTGGCAATAATGAAGCATCTACACGATCCCAGGGAGCATGTGCACAGAAAGACCTTTGTTCTGTTTCCAAGTCCACATTCCTCCCACACCTGTCTGTACTTCCAGATCACTGAATGACATAAAAGCCTTTAAGTCAGGAGTGTCAAACTCATTTTCACCCAGAGCCATATCAGCATCATGGTTGCCTTCAAAGAACCGAATGTAACAGTTAAGGAGTAGTTGTATTTATACAGTCCTAAAATTATTTTGGCCCTTTGAAGTCAACTGAGAAGCTGATGTGGTCCCCAATGAAAATGAGTTTGACACCCCTGCTCTAAGTAATAAATGTCCCTGTACTTCAACAGGCTTCAGTGGAGTTCCGCTTCTTATAATCAAAAGATACCTTACTACCTCAAAAAATTAAAAATAGAACTGCCTTATGACCCAGCAATTCCACTTTTGGGAATTATCCAAACAAATCTGAAACACTAATTTGAAAGAATGTATGCACCCTTATGTTAACTGCATCATTATTTACAATAGCCAAGATGTAGAAGCAGCCCCAGTGTCCATCAATAGACAAGTGAATAAAAAAGCTGTGATACACATAAAGCTTCACCCTTTTCAACAGCATAGATTGACCTGGGAACATTATGCTAAGTGAAATAAGCCAGTTAGAGAAAGACAAGTACCATATGATTTCACTCATATGTGGAATCTAATAAACAAAATGAACAGGCAACATAGAGACTCATAGAGAACAGGCCCACAGCTGTCAGAGGTGGGGGCTTGGTAAGAGTGAGTAAAAAAGAAAAAGAGAAAACAAACATAAATAACATAGTCTCTTCCCTCAGGACTCTCTACAGAATAATTGTGGAGAAAAGATCTACCAAAAATATGTAGAAATAAATAAATGTAATGTTAGAGGAAACCCCAAGACAATTTTTAAAATATAATTAAAAATATTTCATGACCTTTCGTTTAAAAAAAACAACAAAAAACCAGTCCTAGCTGGTGTGGCTCTGTGGATTGAATGCCAGCCTGTGAACCAAAGGGTTGCCAGTTCAATTCCAGGTCAGGGCACATGCCTGGGTTGCGGGGCAGGTCCCTGGTGGGGAGCATGCGAGAGGCAACCACACATTCATGTCTGTCTCCCTTTCTTTCTCCCTCCCTTCCTTTCTCTAATAAATAAATAAATAAATCTTTTTTAAAGAGACCTTAATAAGACAATTTCCATCTTACTTACTATTCCTTGTATCCTTGTTGGCTTCTCCTCATTTTCCCAGCCTAAATATAATTGTGGAATGTTCCTTTCTATATCCTAGCCCTAGAGGGCTTACCTACTGCTATGGCTTCAACTGTTGCCTCCAACAGAGGCTTCCAAACAATCCAAATAAGAACAACAGCCTCCACTTTGCTAAACTTAACCCGTCTTGATCTTCTTGCCAACCTGTGGGGATGTATTATTGCTTACATGTTACAGAAACTGAGGTCTAGAGAAGTTGAGTAATTGGTCTAAGTGTACATGGACAACAATTATCAGAGCAGAATATTGAATCCCCATGTCAATGACCTTACCCTCATAACCCCAATTCAAGTTCCACACTTCAAACTACCAGCTGTACACTAACACTGTCATCTCAAACTCAACGTATCTAAAATAGGAATATCCCCTGCTCCTTGCTTTATTTCATCCCCTTACTTTTTCTAATCACTGATGTCACAACTTAAAACTTATCTTGCACTTACTCATGGAATAAGTATTTAATAAATACTTATTGTGTGTTGTAGGTACTAGAAATGCTTAGTGGTGAACAAAAATAAGCATGTCTATGGAGCTTATATCCCAGTAAAAGAAGATATACAACAAACATACATCAAATGCTAATAAGTGCTATGGAAGCAAATAAAGCAACCAGCCAGTGGAGAATGGGGGCCCTATTTTATAGAATAGTCAGGGAAGGGATAGATCTTTGATGAGGGGTTATTTGAGCTAAGACCTAAAATAAGTGAGGAAGTAAGCCATACAAAAATCTTGAGGAAAAGCAAAGAGAACACCAAGTACAATGCAAAACCCTGGCCAGTTTGAGAGACAGCAAGGAGGCCAGTTACTGGGGAGTGAGGAGTGGGGAGTGGGGAGTGGGGAGTGAGGAGAAGGCAAGGCCACAGACATCATATAGAGCCAGGTTACTGAGGGCCTTATGGGTTAGGACTCTGGATTATTACTAAGTTACATAAGAAGCCAGCAGTTCGGAGTAGAGAACTGATAATAAATTGACTTGTTTTAAAAGGATTACTTTACTGTGAGAAAGAAAGGTCAAAGACAAAGGTGGAAGCAGGGAGGGTGACAGAGATTACTACAATAGTGACCAATAGGTAATGGTGAGAGTGGTAAGAAGTGGTAGAGTTATGGATTAAAATTCAAATAAGATTTGCTGATGGATTTGACATGGAAGAGAAGGACAAAAGAGGAATCGAGGAATAAGTCTTTTAGACTAAGCAGCTAAAAGATTTGCCATGCCCACCATATCTGATCAGTTATCAAGATCTGTGGAATCTACTAGGTCTCTCACATACATCCCTTCCTTGTATCTTGCTGCTTCCCTATGCATGGCACGTCTTTCTCTTATGCCTGCACTGCCTTTAACCCAGCCCTCCAACTGGTCTGTTTCTTTATCCTCTCCCTTCTTCAATCCTTCTTACATACCATTCTGAAATTAATCTTCCTTAAATATCACTATATCATACCATCAGCATTCTACCTCTAGAAAGACATACCTCCTGCCATGCCTTTACTTCCAATGCCTATGAAATACCAATTCGGTTTCTTTCAACTCCCAGATCCGATTTTGTACCCTTTCAGAGGTCTTTGACCACAGAACCTCTACTGATTTTTCCCTTCCCTTAACTCCTGTTACAGTTTAAAAACTGTAACACTTCTGTGGCATTTGCTATTACCAACAGCAGTATTCTGGAAGTCTCACACATACTCTTAACTCTGCCCTGACCAAGTGTATGTTTTTTCTAGGTAGACTTATATAGAAACCCCACTTTAACTTGTGTCCATCAGAGTGCACTATATCTAGGGGCTAAAACAATAAATGAATGTCTTTATGATTTGAATTAGAAAATGCAAAATAAAATGGGATAAGCATTAATAAAGGCTATTTATCACACTGGAATTAGTATTTTTCCTATGTAAAAATTAGCTTAATCACATTTCCAAATGAATGCCCCTTTCATTTTATTTTGAATTATTAAAAACATTTGAAAGAAGCCCTGGCTGGCGTAGCTCAGTGGATTGAGCGCGGGCTGGGAACCAAAGTGTCCCAGGTTCGATTCCCAGCCAGGGTACATTCCTGGGTTGCAGGCCATAACTCCCAGTAACCGCACATTGATCTCTCTCTCTCCCACTTCCTCCCTTCTCTCCCTAAAAATAAATAAATACAATACTAAAAAAAAGTAGTTTCTTAAAAAAAACAAACAAACAAAAAAACATTTGAATGAAATAGGAATAAAGAGCAATGTATCTCATATACATTTAAAGAAACTATCAGTAAGAACACTGTATAAAATAGATTCAAGGTAAAGAAAAACCACTTTAAGGAAAAATACTTAAGAGGGAACACAAAACAACCATTGGTTCAACCACTTAAAAAAATTAGTGCTTCTGATTAACCCAAATATAACTGATTAGGAAATTCCTTCCTTAAAATTAGCCTATGTTATTTCTCAAAGTAAACTGAATTATCAAATAGATATACCTTATTCAAATATTGTGCTATATAACCTCTTCCACAACCGACATCCAAAGCAAGGGGAAAATCCCTAAAAAAACAAACACAGAAGTTATGTTTTGTCTGTAACAATACAGTCTATAAAATAATGATGAAGATCTAATTTTTCATTTGTGTGTGTGTCTCTCTCCTTTTTTAAAATATATTTTATTGATTATGCTATTACAGTTGTCCCATTTCCCCCTTCACTCCCCTCCACCCTGTCTGTACACCCTGTACACCTTCTCCCACCCACTTCTCCCCGCTTTAGTTCATGTCCATGTGTCACACTTATAAGTTCTTTAGCTTCTACATTTCCCATACTATTCTTACCCTCCCCCTATTTTCTACCTACAATCTATGCTACTTATTCTCTGTACCTTTTCCCCCTCTCTCCTCCTCCCACTCCACTGTTGCTAACCCTCCATGTGATCTAAATTTCTGTGGTTCTGTTCCTGTTCTAGTTGTTTGCTTAGTTTCTTTTGGTTCTGCTTTAGGTGTGGTTGTTAATAATTGTGAGTTTGCTGTCCTTTTACTATACATGTTTTTTTTAATCTTCTTTTCTTAGTTAAGTCCCTTTAACATTTCACAAAATAAGGGCTTGGTGATGATGAACTCCTTGAACTTGACCTTATCTGAGAAGTACTTTATCTGCCCTTCCATTCTAAATAAAAGCTTTGCTGGATAGAGTAATCTGGGATATAGGTCCTTCTCTTTCATAACTTGGAATACTTTTTTCCAGCCCCTTCTGGCTTGTAAAGTCTCTTTTGAGAAATCAGCTGACAGTCTGATGGGAACTCCTTTGTAGGTGACTGTCTCCTTATCTCTTGCTGCTTCTAGGGTTCTCTCCTTCATTTTTACCTTGGCTAATGTAATTATGATGTGCCTTGGTGTGTTTCTTCTTGGGTCCAACTTCTTTGGGACTCTCTAAGCTTCCTGGACTTCCTGGAAGTCTGTTTCCTTTGCCAAAATGGGGAAGCTCTCCTTTGTTATTTGTTCAAATACATTTTCAATCTGTTGCTCTACCTCTTCCCCTTCTGGTACCCCTATAATTCGGATGTTGGAATGTTTAAAGATGTCCTGGAGGTTCCTAAGCTTCTCCTCGTTTTTTTGAATTCTTATTTCTGCATTCTTTCCTGTTTGGTTGTTTCTTTCTTCCTTCTGGTCCACTCTATTGTTTTGAGTCCCACTTTCCTTCCCATCACTATTGGTTCCCTCTGCATTTTCCTTCATTTCTTTTATGGTAACCTGCATTTGTTCATCTAATTTGCAACCAAAATCAACCAATTCTGTGAGCTTCCCGATCACCAGTGTTTTGAACTGTGCATCTGATAGGTTAGCTATCTCTTGGTCAGTTAAAAGGATGAGTCCTGGGGCATTGACTTGTTCTTCTGTTTGAGCCCCCTCTCTCTCTCTCTCTCTTTTTTTTTTTTTGGTCTGGTCACTGCTGTTATGGTGAGGGGCAGAGCCTTAGGTGTTCACCAGGGCTGGACACCCCAGTCACTAGATTGTGACATTGTATGTGGGGGCGGGGTCAGGAGTAAACAATGGCGGTAGCCTCGTTCTCTTGGGACCTCAGTCTCTTCCCTGGGATCCTGGGTTGTGCGCTCTGCTCTGGTCCACAATCACCGCCTCACTGGGTCTGCCAGCTGCTGCTTTCGTACCCAGGGTCCACCCGCCATGATCTTGCGCACCCCAGATGCCTTACGTGCTCCCAGTTGCCTTATGTGCCCAATTCTCTCTGTTCTCAGTGCCTGGACCTGCACCTGGCTGCTCATCTCTGCCCCTCCTATCAGTCTGGATGAATGGGTCTACTTCAACTTCCTGGCTGTCTGATTTCCATTCAGATAAATTTTTTATCAGTTCTGGGTGTTATTCTGCCTGTAAATTGTTGTTGTTCCAATCTTGGTTGTGTGTGGAGGTACGGTGCGTCCACCTATGCCTCCATCTTGGCCGGCAGTCAGATCTAATTTTTCTTATAATTTACTAACAATTAATTTGAAAGTGAATGCAACTTTTAAAAAGTTTTATCATCTCTCTTTTCTGCCTTTCAAGTTGTATGTACCAGAAAACATACCAGACAGAGAAAGTCTCTCTGGTCTAGTCATTCACAGGAACTCAGTCAACTGGCTTTCCATAAGGGTATTCCATGATATGGATTCAAGAACAGATTTAGAGGGGTATTTTAATTTGATAATATATCTGGATAAAGAAAGAAGTTAACATGAAAACATTCCACTTATCAGGAATGTATTATTACTACTTCTCAATTTTGCTAAGGCAGCAGATAACTTAGATATCATGTAAAATACCATGAAGTATCATATGCTAAACTAAAAACAAAATACCAACTAAATAATAGTTTACTTTTATTGCAGTCTTACCAGGTTTAGCAGTATGCTAAGTGTTGAGAGCTAAGTAAGTCAACACAAAGTCATTCAACTAAAAAGCAGTGATCAGAATATGAATTCAGTTAGTTTGAATCCTGAACCAGAACCATTATCCCCTATGCTATGCTGTCTCCTCTAAATATATCATGTCATACTAATCAGTACACACATCTAATCGTAGGCCATAAGTTTATGAAAAATTTGTGGCAAGAAAACTTAAAATGTTATCCACTAATAACACTTTCCTATTAGAACCAAAAAAGTCCCTTCTCAGGTTTTTAAAGACCTATTTCAAAAATATAGAACATCAATGAGGCAGGAGATAGAATAGGAATGAGGAAGTTCTGAGACACTGCAGCTGTAGTCAGTCACTCGGCATCCTGATTTCTGAGAATCACCTTGTGACACTTGGCAAGGAGTCACACTGGCACACCAGAGCTTCAGTAGATGGCAATGTGCCTTGTTATCCTAAATTAGCATTGCAGTCTCTACCCGCACCTGGCCCCCGCCCCCGTGTGGGCAATCAAGGAGAATTATGGGACCCAATAAAGCTTGCACCCTTTTGGCAGAAGGGGGCCATTCTCTGATCAGAGGTGGCCTGCTCCAATATCTCAGGAAATGTACTTTTCTTAATAAATCTAGGTTGCTTCTCTTCTTGCTTCGCTTAACTCTGTGCAGTCTGTTCAATTCTTTGTTCATAATCACCAAAAGCCTGGACCCCGTCTCCATCTGCAACACCAGTACACAATTGGAGAACCACTGGTGAGAAAGAACCATTTATTTACCTAATACCATCTACCTTAATTGTGAATACAGGTGGTGTGGCACCACAAAGTACACAGACTTTGCAATCAGATTGACTTGAATTAGAATTCCGGGCCTGCAATTTAATGGCACTGTGACCAGAGACAAGTGATTTAACCTTGCTGTACCCCAACCACAAAATGTAAAAGTTATCATCTCTCTCAGAGTTGGTGTGAAAATCTTAGGAAATAGTGCATGTAAAGTATTTAGCCCAGCACAAATGCTCACAAAGTTATTCTGACTTATTACGATCATTGATTAAAGCAATATTAAGCGAGCCTCAGATAACACAAATAAGACATTTAATAATCTGTGGGGGTTAGTTTTTAAAAATCATCGTAAGATCAGTACTGCAATATAAACTACTCTTTCTAATAATAGAACATTAGTACAAGGACATTTAGGCTGGTGTTTTAAATAACTTAATTCCCAAGAGTTACTATTAGTTTAAGACACGCTTTTGGTCATTATCGCAGTTTTCTCCATAGACTATGTTTTGTTCAGTAGTAAACTAAAAAAATTGTAAAATTTAAACTGATTTGGAAAATTTGTTCTATTTATTAGCTCACAGATGGCCTAAAGTCCAGACAAATAAGTGACCACAGTATAGAGAACTGACTATTTAGATCTTTAAATAGTGGAACTAATGAAACAGATGAAATGGGGGTGATTATTTGCAACAATAAAGCTTTCTGTTCTAACTTTATGAAATTAAATCATCCTAACACTTTAAGTAGCAAAGAGATATCTCAAATATGATTGAGTCTGTGATTTTACAAAATCCCCTTTTTTTAAACAAATGTAATAAATTCACTCCTTATTTGTCTAATTTAATGCATATCTTTTTTAAAAAAGCGAAAAAGTGATTTACTAGTATCACAAAGCAATTCTACATAAAGCTATTATTTAACTGTAGTTTTCACCATGTAGTTATAAATGTGAATCTGTAAAGCTTTCCTTAAGCCTAATACAGAGCAATAAATCCATTAAGGTTTTAATAATTACTTGAAGAAAGTATTCTTTTCTCAAATCTGCCTTTATACAATTATCATAGAATACTTACTGACATTAAGAATACTTAAGATAAAATGGCCAAAGTTTCTTACAGCCTGATTGGGAAACAAATCTAGGTAGACAGAGTATTCTTTGCTTAGATGGTCAAAGATTCTGTTATTAATTTTAGTTAAACTTTGAATGCCAGATTTAGTAAATATTATAAATTCATATGCAGTTGATTCTTTATCTCCACTTTTGGAGCTATCTTCCCACTACTGACTTTTGGCTAAATCAAGTGGATCAGTCAGTCACTCAGGTTTGGAGCGAAGCTAAGCATGTGCTTCCATTCATTCTTTCTGTACACAACAGTGAAGAACACTTGCTCTTCCAGACATGAAGACAAGACACTTACAGAGGGATTAAAATCACTAACCCTGGTAATAAAGTCCAGATTCTGCCATTCCAGATATCGAACTCTCATCACCTAATTTCTCTAGTCTCCAAAGTTAATTGTACTTTGAAGTTATGTATTTATCATCACCTACCTGGCTATGTCATATACACGATCTGCAATCCGACTGCCGACCTAAAGGATTGTAAGAGACAATGATGTACACAAATTAAGATGAGTATGTTTAACAGAGAAATAACACTCTTTTTCCAGTATTCAACAACCTATGGGTTATTTATGTTTCAACATATTTGTAAGTACTTCCTTTTATCCCTTTTTCAATGTGACCACAGTAATTTCTTTTCAAATTCTAAATAGGAACATATGAAATAAAAATATCCCAGGAAAAAAACTGCAGCAAATTACTTAAGAAGTCAATTTAAAGGAAATCAAAACCAGACATATTCTACATATCTCCATTCTCTCTCTGTATGTATATATGCATGTATGTATGTGTACATATGTATATATGGCCTTTACATTCCATCTGCTATAGGAGCACAAGGATGAAAATCAATAAGAACATAACAGGCACATTACTGTCCACAAATATTAGGATGAAAGTATATAAAAGTAAAAAATTATTTAATTAGCTGGGGTATATTACAGATCAATGTTTAAACTTAATCGCTTAGTTAAAAACTCTATTATTTGATGACTATTTATAAATTTTGTGGAATTCCTAAATGAGTAAACAACTTTTATGGGAAGTTATTTGTCAATTAGAAAAAGTCAGCAAATCTGAAGAAACTGCACTTCCCATCCCCTTCCCAATCCCACTTTAATTTAAAAGAGGTCATAAGGTAGGTGCCTCCTTTGCTAGGCCTGCTTCATCTGACAGGAATAGATGTGGGAGTCTAGTATTCCCCCCATTCTACTCATTCTCTCAGAAACATCCCAGAGTTTCTAGTAGGACCAGAAAATTCAAGACATATGTGTTTCTGTTTTTTTTTGGGGGGTATAGCAGAAATCTAGTTTCCTAGAGTCTACTTTGTATACCATGTCTAATATTATAAAAAGTACTCTCATACACTTTACTTCTGGTCTGTATACTGGCCATGACGCAGTCAAACTGTAATCCAGGATTACAGGCATCATGATCCCTAAGAACAGAGCCAATCATCTGATCAGGCCAGGGCTTGCACATAGCTCTGTCCAAAGTGGAAGCTCAGTAAGTGTTTGCTGCATTGGCTTGATCTTCAACTTCACTCCACCTCTGAAAAAACAATTACTTAGGCCTGGGCTCAGTACTGCCTGTCCAAAGAGTAGAAACCCTCAGTCTCTAGTCCACCTGGGCAGAGAGGAGAAGGTGTCTCGAAATCACACAAACAAACCAGAGATCTTAACGTATCTTAATTTGATCTTCCTAAAAGAAAAACCAGATTCTATCACTACACTGCTTGAAACCATGCAACAGCCTCACATTCCTCTACAGGAGTGTTGGCCAATATAATAACAGTAAGAACCACATGTGCAATTAAAATTCCTGGTAGTCACTTCACATTAAAAGGAAACAGGAGAAATTAATTTTAACATATTTGTTTAACCCAATATATCAAAAATATAATTTCAACATGTAATCAGTAAAGTTATTAGTGAAATATTTTACATCCTTTTTCACATTAAGTTACTGAAATACAGTGCATTTTATACTTACAGCACATCTCAATTGAACTAGCAGCATCTGAAATGCTCTACAGGCACATGTGGGCAGAGATTACCATATTGAATGGGCAGCTGAGATGAAGAAAATCCAAAATTCTCACCGCTTAGGGATCTAATAACCTGGGCCCACCCTGACCTCCACTCCCCCTTTCACTGTAGACCTCAACAGGGTCCTTTTGGCCGCAGAGACTCTGCATTTGTCTTTCCCCTTGCTTATAAGGCTTTCCTCCCCAGACGCCAGATTTCAGCGTGGCCAATGCCTCATCATATTGTCTGCCTGAGTGGCCTCCCTGACCATTGCGGTCACTATACCACTTCACTTTATTATCTCCACTAACTTCTTTAGCTGACACCACATTTTTGTTGTTGTTCGCTGTCTCACCTCCCACAAGAATGAAACCTCAAGAAGGCAGCGGACTACTCTGCCCTAGACATAAGAAGGTAGGAAGGAAAGAAGAGAGGGAGAGAGAAAATGAATGAATGGCACCTTACAAATATCCGAGCCCCTTCCGTGTATTACAAAAGGGATCCAGAAAGGAAGGGCGCTTCTCAAGGACACGCCGCGAGGTGAAGTCCGTGGGAGCTTGGCCGGAGCCCCGAGACCCGAAGCCGAGGCTCGTGATCGCCCTCCAGCGCTGCCCCGCGGACTCACCTCCTCCCTCACGTAGTCAAACTTCTTAGGGTCGGGTTGCCGAGCCGCCCAATTCTTCTGCTTCCTCTTCAAATCCCGGTCGAAGATATTTAGGGCTCTGGGCGAGGCGCTGCCTGGCGAAGAAACGCCAGAGGCAACCTTTCTGACTCCAAAGTTCTTCCCCGGGACCCTCACCGCCGGAGATCGGCGCCACTCGAGCCAGAGCCGCGTCAGTCGCATCTTTCCGGATGAGGGCTCTTGATGGCGTGGCTACCGTGCGCATGCGCCACCGCAGATTCGGCGACTACGCAAATTCTTCGCCAAGAGAAAGACGAAGCAGTTTGGCCCATTGCGCGTGCCATCGCGGCGGAGCGTCACGCGGAGGATTGTGGGTGCCTTCCCACGTGAGACTCGGTGAAGGCTCCTAGGTGAAGGCTGCAGGTTTCAACAAGGTCTGTGAAGGGGGCCGAACCAGTTTCTGACAGGAATCGTGAGGGTCGCGCGGTCTCTCCTTGCGTTTTTGGGCTTATTGTTCGGACCTTATTGACCCTTATCAGAGTCATTTCGAGGGACCTCAGTCCAATAGCAGCGTCCTGAGGTTTGGAAGCTAGGGTGACCCTCGTTTCGGGACCATCCTGGTGTTACTCACTTTAGAGGGTGGATAAAAGGGGAGGGTGGACTGCGAAGATGAGGGGGAGCGTCGGAGGTGAGGTCTGGTCGCCTGCCACCCTCTGAATATCTGACTTTTGTTGAGTACTTTGGTTCTAAACGTGTATGTGCGTTGCCTCTGATAGTTGTGATGAGGTGGTACCTACCTCCTAAGGCTGTTAGGAAGGCTAAATGCTTTAACACATCTAAAATTCTTTGAACACCAACTGACACGCCATGATTAATACTTTTTGATGTGCAACTGGTTTATTTAAACCTTTGATTTTTCTTGGTGTATAAAATTGTTTTCAATTTTTAAGAAAAAAAAATACAGCCTCATCGTCGAGGCTTGCTTTTGAAACAAAGTACCACTACCCTGTTTGATTACTTTTTGCTCCTAATAATCGGCGACTTTTGACTGCCAAAATCAGATCTAGAGATACTAAACCATTAAATGACTATTTTCAAGAAACAGTATTAATTGTATACACTCGTATTTCAAGATGTTTAGGGGTGGGAATCAGCCCATTTGAGCCTTGGTCAATTTTAGAATAATAAATTATAGGAACTCGTGATATTTATCAACTAGAGTGAGACTTCATCTGCGTTTTGGAGGATGGTTGGATCTAAAAAGAGAAACTTGTGAGCTACGTCTGACTTGATTTTGGTCTGTTTTGTTATGAGACTAGTCTTGTAGAATTAAAGGCTGTTTGAAGTAGCATGAGGTAAGAATTAACAGAGAGTAGGACCAGATTGTGAAGGAAAAAATGAGACCGGTTGAGGCTTGGGGATTCTTAATTACATTAGTTTTAACTTGTAATGCATACAGGTATACAAACAAGTACAGAAACTGAGTGCAGTTGGCTAGCAAGCATTATCCCTGGAATTCTGCTTGTTTTTGCCTTAAATTTATTTCTTCGAATGCTCTGTAACTGAAAGACGATACTCTTGATAGTTTTTGGTTTTCTGCATGTGACTCAGAATAAGTTTCTAAATGAAATTAGACTCATTACCTTTATTTGCATTTAACTTAAACTATATTGTGAATTAATATTTTTCCCAAAACATTTTACTTAATTATATTAATACCTCTTCATTATTGTAACATTTGTTTTATTTTTCAGTATTTGGTTTCTTCAAGTATTTGTCCAGTAAGGCACTTAAAAATGGCATTTAAACAAGAAATAATGAGTGACCAGCGGTTTAAGCGGGTTACAAAGGACCCAAGATTTTGGGAAATGCCAGAAAAGGAACGAAAAGTCAAAATTGACAAGAGATTTCGAGCAATGTTTCATGACAAAAAGTTCAAGCTGAATTACTCTGTGGATAAAAGAGGACGCCCAATCAACCACAGCACTACTGAGGACTTGAAACGTTTTTATGACCTTTCAGATTCTGATTCAGATCTCTCTGGTGAAGATAACAAAGATTTGAACCAGAAGGAAATAAAGAAGAAGAAAAAACAGAAAAATGAAATACAGTCAAAAAATCTAGTTGAGAAAACGAAAGAAACCAAGAAAATTAACCAAAAGGATTCTGGAAGTAAAAACAATTTAGATAACTTGGACATAATTCAGAAAATGAAAATCTGCAAATCGAAGAAGATGAATTCAAAAATAAGACCCAAGAAAGATAGTGAAGAATTTATAACAAAAAGTACAAAACAGGAAAAAAATAATATTCAACATAATACACACTTGTGTCCCAAAGGAAGAGTAAGGACAGTAGACTCAGGCACTTCCGAAATTGTGAAATCTCCCAAGATCAAGTATTCTGAGACAAAAAGAGAAATGCAGTCAGGTTTGTTGGAAAAAAATTAAGGATTCCTTGGTATTATTTATATTTATTCTGATCTTTTAAAAATGTAAATATATAGTATTTTTATATTGTATGAATTATCAAGTGCTTATTTAGAAGTATAAAAATATAAAAGAAAAAATATATAATCACTATTTTTGATTTGGTGCTATAATATCTAGAAGAGATACAAAAATTTGAGTCTGGAGGTTAAACAATAAATTTGGTTTGTGATGGGCACTAGTGAAAGCTGTATTCTCTAATCAGATAAAGTGTTAAATGTTCTCATCAATTGATAAGAGTTGTGCCTGAAAAAGGTGATAGAGTTGGGTACTCATTCACTATTTCATTCAGCTACTTTTAGTAACTAGTATTTGACAGACAGAACATGAGTAAGACATGGTTCCCTTCTCAGGGCTACTGTTAGCACATATAATGCCTGTGAAAATTAAAGAAAGGTATGCCCTTTCTCAACACACAGAACTTATAGTTTGGGGAGGGAGAGCATCTTTAATTGAAGCAACATGTTCTTTTTCCTTGAGCAGACACTTAACCTTCCTTCACAGTGTGTGGCTTGGTGGGTGTAGTTTGGTCTTGATTTTAGCCTATCTTACCCGTTTGCAGATCATCTAGTGCAAAAAACAGCTTGGTAAACCATGCAGGGACTCTGTTGAAAGCAGCACTTCCAGTCACCCCAGTAAATTCAATTAAAAAAAAAACTGTCCAATAGAAATACATAATTTTGAATTTCACATTAAAAAGTAAAAAGATGCAGGTGAAGTTAATTTTATTAACACATATTTAATCCAGTATATCAGAAGTTATTTCAATGTATAATCAATATAAAAATTAATGAGATACTCTTGTTTCATTCTTTTTCATACTGATCTTAAGTTAGATGAGCTACATTTGAGGTGCTCAATTGGCTGCTAGCTACCATTTTGGACAAAGATCCATAAAATATGTTCAGCAGAGGAGTATGAGAATTCTGAAGAAGTTACTCAAGATATCAGAAAAGTTCATAGATGAAGTGTTATTTTGGTAAGGGTTTGGAAAAATTAAATTTGGAGATAAAATTTGTGGAGTTTTCTACATGGAAGACTTTCTGAACAAAGATGTGGTTAGGTATAGTCAGAGATCAGTATCCCCATTTGATTAGATAATAAGGTCTCTGAAGGGGTGAGTGAATGATACAGCTAGAAATGGCTGTTTGGAACGAGATAGGACATTTGATTCTAGTTCATATTTACATGTTTACTAACTTTATTAAAATGTTGTGTTACCTCTAGCAGCAGGATGTTTTGAGTTTAGTTGTTGCTGATCATTGATGTTGCAAACGAAAATTGGTGATATTCAGATAAGTCAGACAAAGACTGATTTTGATTACAGAACCAAAGTAGGGTAGGCATCAGGAAAAAGCAGAGAGAAGTCTTCACAGGCTGAGATCACATTGTGAAGGTAGGAAGTATTGGGCAGTGGAAGAGTTCTATATAGCAGGGATTAGGGTGTCAGAGGTGGAATCACATTCCATTTATAGTGGAACCAAGCAGCAAACAAGTATAAGGAAAAGGGATAGGAGTCTACTGAAATTGGAGAATAAGATCAAAATGAGAATAGCAAGGATGGTTTGAATTTGTGAGGTAAGTTAATCTAGCAGCCTTTAAATTTCACTAGCTTTAGGGCACTGGATTAATACAACCATATGATATTGGGATTGATTTTATAGAATCTTTTTACATATCTATCTTTAATTTTCTCAATAGCCACAAGAAATTAATATATATTAATCAGAAAAGAGGGCTGAAGTGATTTATTTGAGGATACACAGATCTGAGTCTGCAACTCAAGTGTTTGAATCTTTCTACCCTGCCACATTGCTTCCTGTAGTTTAGAAAAGGCATTATCTATAAGTAGAAATGAAGGGACTCCATGTATGACCTTCTTTCATTCATTGTTGATTCTTCAATTGTCATTCAAGCAACTACTGTATGCCAGGATTTTTTTAATAGCTGTTAAGTAAAGGTGATGTGAGGAGTTGCAGTGTGTTATTATGTATCATTTTAAAATGTCCACGCCTAGCACTTGTACCCCTAAGAATTTATTTAAAGCAAGTAATTGGGTATGTGTGCAAAGAATATGCATTGTAGCATTGTTTTTACATTTAAAAAATGTAACAGAAATTATTAGGGGGTTGATTAAGCAAGTTATAGTACATCCAAACATGACTATGATATATGCAGTTTTCAAAATGGTTACAAAATAGCATAAATTGTATGACCAGCTACTTAAAAATCAATCAGTGGATATATCATAGAAAACAAATTTAGGGAGTTATCTACCGAAATAACTATCCAGTTATCTCTGAATGAAAAATAGCTAGTCATCTTTTCTTTCTTTAACTGTATTTTCTTTAATTTTCTTGAAATGAGCATTTATTACTTTTATAATTAGTTGGGAAATGATAAAGCATGTTTTTTTCAAGTAGCTGGATAAGTAGTAGTGTTTACAATCACTGCTAGAGCAGTACTATTTGAGAATAAAGGTAATTCCACATCATCTAGCATAAGGCTTTGTACATGGTGGGCTCTGAGGAAAAATTTAGTGAATACTTCAAATGTATTTGATATTGTCAAAAATACTAAATCTCTTTAAATCTCCCATGTATCACACCCAATGTTGGATAAGTAGTACCACTGTCATGTGAAAAGATGTCATACATAGGATGGTACTCAAAAATATGTTTATGTTAGTAGTCATGTATTTATATCAGCATCTTAAAAAAATTGTAAACACTGCATTTGTGAGTTCAGGGATATTTAGAACAAAGGTAATATTTAAAATTCAATTTAAATATTCAATTTAATGAAAAATATGGTGATACGCAAACTAATGCTTGAGAAATATTGAAATAGTAGATAGAGCTAAGTCCTCAAGGTCTTATTTCTGAGCATATTGATTAAAAGTGAATGCTGTAACATTCTTTCACTATTATGGTTGTGTTTTTCCAATCCAATATACAGAACTTATGATAATGCCTGTTTTTTTGTCTTTTTATATCTACTGGCTAGTTATATTTTATTACTCCCACTCTCTTGTGGTTCTAAAAGCCCATTTCCTACTTTTCCTCTTAAAAAAACTTTCCATTTAGTTTCAGGTCATATGTCATTTTTGTGAAGCCTTCCTTATTATAAATACCTCTCTACAGGCAAATTTAGATGTGTCTCTCTGTGGTGCTTTAGAATATAGCTTCATAAATTAACAAATGATTTCTTTTTGTTTATGAACTCATTAAGAGCATGAGATCATATTACAAATCATCTCTCTTTTCCCTTGCTCGATACTTTGTACATTGTAGATACTCAATAATAAATATTTGGTCAATGAATGACTATTCCAAGGTTATAGGACCAAGAGAAAAATTAAGTTCCAATGTCATTCCTAGTCTTAAACTAAGTTCCAACTTGAAGATCAATAAAACATATAAGATATACCTATATTATATATACACACAGTAGACAGAAGCATATGATTTTAGAAATAGAAAATGAGCCCTTTTAGAATTGTGAGGGCTAAAAATAAGTCAAATCATCTTTCACTCTTCATATATTGCTAAGTATAAGTTACAAAATTCAAGATTTAGAAAAGTTGAATATATATTAACTTTAGTATAGTATATATAATATAGTTAAAATTAGTATATTACTCTTTATAAATGATATCATTCACATCATAACTTGTTATCATAACACATGCATGAGTCAAAAATTTTGTCTCTGAGATTTCTCAGAGCTGTAGACTCTACAGCCAACAGTCTTCTATGTGTTCTTAGATGGCTCAAAGGCACTTCCAATTCAACATATCCAAAACTGAACTGATGATCTACCTCTACGAAACGAATTGGTTCTTTCCCAACATTGCTCTACTCCAAGTCTTTGTCACTGATTACTGTTTGTTTTACTTCTTGACTCTGAGAGTCAAAAGTGACTCCATTCTCTTCTCTACATTTCTACTGCCACCAATTTGGTGCTATCTTCATTTCTTTCCATAAGTACATACTGCACTTGTCTCTATTTACATCCACTATTGTCTCCCTCCAGTCAGTTTTCTACAGCATAGTCAGTCAAGGTGATCTTCTCAATAGGGAAATCAGATGTCTTTATATTAGTGGATCTTTTCTCATGCTTTTCTGGCTGTTTGGACCATTTCCCTAATCTGTTTGTTAAACCTTGTTTACTTTTTTCTTCATCCTTCAAGTAGCAACTTATATCATTATATAACATTCCTACTTTGTACCTACCCTAGTTCTAATTATATGTCTTAAATGTGTATTGATATGATTGATTTTATTTGGTCAGTATCTGTCCATCTATCCTCTTTACTTACCTGGAGGTTTATTCGGGGCACTGATTGCTTTTCTTTTGCCAGTGATTGTATATTGAGCACGTACCACACAGCAAGCACTCCATAAATATTGAATGAATGTATGAAGCTGCTATATGACCTGGTCTATTAAATAATTGGGTTAGGCATGAATTATTACTGAATTTATATTTTCCTTTTGTCTCTTTTCTAGAAATTATACTTTTACTGGATTTCAGTTTAATTCAGTGTTTATACAGTCTCTTAATTTCTCCTTTGTTTACCTATTTGCAGTTGTTCCACTCATAGTGGCAAGACACAGTGATGGTTATGAAAAGTCAGCAGGTGGTAAAATGTTTGATAAAGATGCTCTGGAGGAAGTTTTAGAAAGTGCTAGTGAAATAGGAAGTGATGAAGAATCTGAAAATGGAATTACAAGCATTGGCAGAGATTCAGCTGATGATGATGACAATGATGAAAGTGAAAATGACGAGGAAGAGGAGAATGAAAGTGATGTTAGTGAGGATGATGATGAAAGTGACAGTGGCCCTGATCTTGCAAGAGGTAAAGGAAATATAGAAACTAGCTCTGAAGATGAAGAAGATATGGCAGATCTACTTCCAGAGGAATCTGGTTTTGAGCATGCTTGGAGAGAACTAGATAAAGATGCTCCTCGGGGTGATGAGGTAATCTTTTGAATAAATGAGATCATTTGTGAAGACACAAGTAGTTTTTATGGACAGTACTGATGTCATTAAATTAACTGGGAAAAACTTTATTGCTAAAGAATACTTTTGATGTCGATTCTGATTAAAATCTCTTGATATGGAATATATATAAGTTTGATGTCTGTTCAAGGAAATTAGAAAGTTCTACATAAATAATTAAAAATCACATGAAATTTTTAGAGAGTAACTTGAATTCAGATCCTATTGCACCTATTAGAAATGCTGCAGGGTACCATACTCAACTTCCTTCTTTATGGATCAGTGGCAAAATAGCTTAACAGACTTGGTAGTTAAAAAATCAGCTGATCATGATTCAAGAACTGCCAAGTAAGAAGAAGTACTTTCTGCTGACGTTTTACTATTGTGTTATCTAACCTTCTCTTTTACATCTTGAAACTCCTTAGATAAATATTACATTGATGATTTCAGAATTTGGGAAAAAGAAGGCATTGCAGTTTTAGTATCTTTATTTTGCACACATTGGGAATGACAGATTATGTAATATAAAATTTTTCTCATTTTAGATTACACATCGATTAGCAGTTTGCAACATGGACTGGGATAGATTAAAAGCAAAAGATTTGCTTGCTCTGTTCAATTCATTTAAACCTAAAGGAGGTGTTATATTCTCTGTAAAGGTGAGAATTGATTTCATTTTGAAATAAATATGTATAAGCATTTTAAGTTCACTTTCATTTTTTTTGTCAGTTTTTCTTTTAAAGAAAATAATTTATCTGGAAATTGTTTAGTACAGTTTGGTGTGAACCTGATGTAACAGATATAATAAAGGAAAGGAAGAGTAAAAGTATTATTGATGGGCTATATGATTATAAATTTAAAAACCTAAATAAATCAATAGGGAAGTTATTATAAGTTGAGTAAAGGGACAGGATATAAGATAAATATTTCAGAAATGAATTGCATTCCTTTTTTACCAGCATTATCCAATTAAGAAAATATACTATTCTTATTAGCATCAAAAACATGTAAAATCCTTGGGAATTACCTTAGACACATGACCTATATGATGTAAATTATAACACTGGATAAATTTGAAAGATTTAAATTTTGAGATACCATATTTTTAGAGTGCCAGCATTGTGATTAAGAATTCCAGGCTTTGCAGTATGACAGACCTATGTTCAAATCTTTTTTTTTTTTTAATTTGTTTGTTGTTTTTTGGGGATTGGGGTTCAAATGTTGATTCTGATAAATGCTATGTGACCTTGGACACTTTATTAATCTCTCAAATGTTTTCTCATCTGACAAGTAGATATAACAACAGTACTTTGTAGTGTAGTTACAAGGATTGAATGAAAAAGATCTCACACTGAGTATTTAGTACAGTACCTAAAGCAGCTCTAAATAATTATGTTTGATTATTTAAAGATGTTGTACAGTTTTAGTATAGCTTCAATCATAATTTAGTTCAAATGAAAGTTAAGGGAAAGGATACCAGTAATCACCTAAAAGAATAAAGAAGTAAAGATGACTAATGCATTTTTGAGATACCATAACAGTATAAAAGTTATAATATCAGTTATAATATATATACCAATATAATATATTATATATAATATAATATACCAGTTATAATATCTAAACATTTTATAATGCTATGAGAATTAACAGTTGTGGGTAAAAATAAGGAGACAAATTAATAGAATGGCATAGATAAAAATAAGAGTTTAAATGATGAGTTAAATCATGGTATTGAGATAAGTCTTTGTGTAGAGAAGTTAGTTCAGATCCCCACGTCATAAAAGGCCAAAATAAACTCCAGATGAAGTAAAGGAAAAAAATTAGAAATCCAGCCACAAAAATAGAATTGTGTTTTTGTTAAATCTTGTGTTTCAGGATATTGAGAGTAGAAACTTCTAGATTTAGAAAAGAGAAAAAAAAAACAAAGACTCAACAGATGTCATTATATATGCATTTTAAAATTCTACATCAAAACCTAGTATATGCAACTCAAAGTACTAAAAGAAACTCAGATCCCCTAATTGATAAATTGCATATTTCACACATTTTCCAAAAAAAGTATTAGTTAAATGTATATTAAGCTCAGTAGTGTCAGACAATGCAAACTAATATAATTATATTTCTTGACTCTCAAAAGTAGCCAAGATATAAAAGTACCAAATCTTAGTAAGGATGAATCCTTTTTCTTATACCCAGGACTATATCTAATCTACATGATAAGATTGTCAGCAGTTCCTTTCTATTGGGTTGGCCAAAAAGTACATTTAGTTTTTTTGTGTGTGAAATAAAGGACACATTTTTCATTTTCACCTATAACCTTATTGATTTGGATATTTTTAGTATGTCGGCCATCTCCCACTATTGGCTTCTAGTGGGTAGCAGCCAGGGGTGCTGCTTAACATCTTTGAATGCATAAGACAGCTCAACAGCAAAGAATTATTTGGTCAATATTACCAGAAAGCTTTGCAAACCACTTTTGATACGTCCAATCAGTCACAGCACCTTCTCTATACACTGCACAAATCTTTGTGTTTCAATTGCATTTTTACCTTTCTTGAAATGTTAAAGGATAATACACCAAAAATGTTGTCTATCTTCTTCCATCTTTAATATTAAAATGGCTGCACAAAAAATTCACCAGTTTTAATAAGTTTTTTTAAAAATGCATGATGATATTACAGCTGTCACAATACAGCCTTAACAAAGTTGTTTGGAATGAAGTTAATGACAACTAAGCACTACTAGAACCATTATACAGAAAAAACTAAATGAACCTTTTGCCCAACCCAATATCAAAAGGAATGTCTTTAAGGAAAGCATTGAATAAATGATATGATTTAGAGATTAGGTGGGTATTACAAAATTGTTTTTCTTCATTATGTTTTATATATTTCTTTAATAATTTTTGTGTATTTTATGTAAACTAGTTAATCCAGTCATTTTTCATGTGTGCATTTGCATTGAGTTCCTTGAACTTAGAATCTTGTTTTGTTCTTAATTTTTCCCTTGGAACCCTGAACCATCTTGTCCCAGTTGATGTATGGAGATGTTCTATTTTTGTTCCCAAGTCCCACATCTGTTACTCTCCAGCCAGAGTGACTATTTAGAAGGAGATTCCTCAGGATGCTTTAGCTTCCTATAGAAGGTTTGGAAGTAAAGTCATCCTTGCTGTTTTCATTTGCAACTTAAAGTTACTGACCTTGACAGGTCTGGATATTGACAGAAAAGGAAACTATTAATTACATTTATCTTAATTTTTCTGTGTTGAAAGTTACCTTGACAGGTCTATATGTTGAAAGAAAAGGAAAATATTAATTACATTTATCTTAATTTTTCTATGTTTAGATATATCCTTCAGAGTTTGGAAAGGAGAGGATGAAGGAAGAGCAAGTTCAAGGACCAGTAGAATTATTAAGTATTCCTGAAGATGCCCCTGAAAAGGACTGGTATTAAATCACTATAGATAATAAAACTAAGTCTTTTAAGTTCATGTTAGTAATTCAGAATTCTAGTCACTTTAAAAGGTAGAACTAAAGTTACACATGCCATTCAAAGTTAAAACAGCTTGGAGAGTAGATTAAAGTCTGTCAGAAGTAGCACACTATTCCAACAGTATTTTGTGTGTATATTTCTATTTCTGTATTCATGAAAATAATTATTACCTTTTTTTGTGGGATGTTGCTTTCCATATAAGTGGCATTGAAACTATTTGCATTCAAATTACATAACTTGTCTAATTAAGTATTAAATACAAAAGTAGAGTGATAAGTTCATTGCCACGACAAAGTGAAATAGAAAAAAATTCAGGCAGTTCTTAAACCACTAGGTGGAGCTAAATGTGCACTTAATAAAGATGGTGGTTAAATACTGTAATATTGATGGCAGAAGAGAAAAGATGAAGACCCTCAAAGAATATGTAGTAGTTAAGTGAAATTAAATTTATAATGATTTAGACTTGACAACACAATTTCTTCATAACTATTTCTAATGCTTTCCTACTATATTTTATAATATAGTACTTGTCCATCAGTTTTTCTTGAGAAGGGTATGCATGGTACCAAAATTAACACATACACAAAATAAGTGATTAAGAATTAAAGTCATAGGTAAGCATATGTAATTCTTATACCCTCCTTTTCTAGCTATCAAATTCCAAACAAAATACCTATTTTGTACATTGTCAAAATAGTAAATTGAACTAAAGTGTTTAACATTCATAAAGGCAAAGTCATAAAGGAAGAACGGATTGGTGTGGAAGTTGTCATATATTTTTCTCTAAATAATTGCATTTATTTTTTGAAGGGAGATAGGTGTGTGTGTTTTTGTATAAGTAATCTTAATGATTTTTTTCCCTTCTTAGGACCTCTAGAGAAAAACTGAGAGATTATCAATTTAAACGACTGAAGTATTATTATGCAGTAGTAGACTGTGATTCTACTGAAACAGCCGCTAAAATTTATGAGGATTGTGATGGACTGGAATTCGAAAGTAGTTGTTCATTTGTAGACCTAAGGTAATCCATTGTGTGTTTACCAATTTAATCTCGTAGTAAACGTGATTACAAGAAACAAAATATTAGAACTGGTAGTGTGCTATGCTTTCTTATATTCTAAAAGAGGATTTTTTGCTTTTGGATGAACTCTGTCTCTTGGAATATCACCCTTAAGAAAGAAAACTGGAATGAGAAAATGATAAAGTATTTTGTATGAGCCACCCCACATTCATATCCTTTCAAACATGTTTTTAAGATGATGGGTTATATGTAGTGATACTACTTTGCAACTGTCTTTTAGAACTAGGAACTAGGTGAATTGCTTTTATTTTAAAATAACAACATGGGGGGGCAAAGGAATTTGCTAATAAACTGGTACCTCAAAATCTGTGCTATCCAATACAGTAGCCACTAGTATATCTGGCTATTTAAATTTATTTAACTAAAAATTTTAAAGTACTTGCTGACAGGGGAGATTCCATGATTACAGAGGTAGTTTTCCCAGTGCAGGGCTTATCCATTGCAATTAGGATGTGCTGACCCTTGTAATTTCCCCAAATGTGGGAAACCTGACCGCATAATTTGTGAGTAGAAACCACTTCTTTGTATGCACGTTTGTTAGAGGCTTTGTTTTCAAAATGAAATGTTTTGGGGAAAAATGCATCAATTCATAGTCACTATGGCTTTCATACTTCAAAGGCATTCCAACTGGTAGAAAAATACAAATAAAAATTTTGTTTGGTATACAAACAAAAATTGATATTTTGGGGTAAGACTTTAGTGTGCTTAAATATATAGCAAGAAGGTCGTATCTCGTGAGGTACCTGTTTCCTTCTCTTTTCTGTTAACGATTTCCATAGGAGATGCTTGTTTTGAATGTTTACATAGCAGTTATCAAACATTTGTTAGAATGTCATACTCTGATTATTGTAAATTGATGTTAATATACTCTTTTCAGGATTATTCTGTTCTTTCTGTTTTCCTTTTTTGGACATTTCCATGCAGTGTTAGAATAAGCTCTGGCAGTGCCTAGAAAATCAGATCAATGACCATGGAAAAATTTACATTCACTGTTTTATTTTGTCATATATAAAAGAAAATTGAGTTTTCTACTGCATTCCTGTGATGTAGGGAAGCCTTTTCACATCTGCCCCAAAATGTAAAAGCATGCATGTTAGTAAGTTAAATATATTAATCTCAAAAACAAATGTATTTGTTTTTCTTCTACTGAGTGTGTTCAAAAGTATAGCTGGAAGAGGATGTTATGTAGATATAATGAACCTTAATCACCCTTTCTTCCCCCAAAAATCATTTTTGATGGAATATACCACATATGCTTTTCTTGAGAAATTAAAATCTATGTAAGCTACAAAAGCTGAATATAGTAACCATGGATTATTTCTGCTTCCCCAGCACCTCCAATTCCTTCTTGGCCTAATGCCTAAGAATTGTCTAACAATTATAATGGCTAATTTACATTTAACAGCTATCTATTTGTGGGGAAAAAAATTTAAGATTAGATTGTTAGGATTTTTTAGTCTTGAAGATTTAGCTTAAGCTTTTCCATATTTTCAGTAACACCTCATGTGTATGATACTTTATTTTCAGAAAACTTAACCATTAATAATTCTGTTTGATCTTTAGAATATTATATAGTAGTCCAGTGACTACACTAACAGGAGTCTATCTAGGTCTTTTGTAACATGAGGGGTCCATGTATGTTTACACCTGACTCATGTTAGCTAACTCCTAACACAGGGTTTCTACCTACACAAGTTCACTTATATTTAGTAGAATTACAGATTTATAGCTTATGAATTGCAGAAATTTTGTGCCAAGGTTATTTCTAACATTGTTTGCCTCATCTACATGTGTGTTCTATAGAAACTTTTATATGGTATGTGTGTATAAACTACAACTAATTAGAAGAGAATATAAGCTGCGGTTGTTTATTACTACAGCATATGTTTAAATAAATTTGTTTGTTTCTTAGGTTTATACCAGATGATACTACTTTTGATGATGAGCCCAAGGACGTAGCTTCAGAAGTGGATTTAACAGCATATAAACCAAAATATTTCACATCTTCTGCAATGGGAACATCAACGGTATTTCTTAACTTAAAAAAATGTGTATCTGGACTTTATTTTAAGAAAAGACTTTGTGTACTATTTACTATAACATATTTAGAAATGGACAATATTCAAAAGTTTAATTCACAAGTACAAATAAAATGAGACACAAGCGTATTTGCATTCTTATCTACTACATCTGTTTGAACCCATTTACAGATTTGTGTTATGCTTTTAAGCCTGAGTCAGTTACCTGCAAATGTTTATTTTTTCTCTTCTCCCTTTCCATACATTTTTAATCAACTAGATTCTTTAATAAGTAATATGCTAGTTATTAACAGTTTAGGGAATAATGGGAAAGAGGTAGTGGGAAGATAACTACAAATTCCAGTTAAGACAAAACTAATCAAAATTTAAAATAGGAACACATTTTTTCTATAGGTAGTATCCAAAATTATAAGAATAATTACAGAAGAATAACTTAGGACTACTATATACCACATTAATGCTGAATAACCCATAGTCAAAAGATTTCTATCGAATTAGTTTATTATTCTGCTACATGCCATTTCCTTTCTCCCTACCTCACCCCTCCTCCTTGCCTCCCATTAACTTTCTGTCCACAGCTAGACTCTGCATCAGCAATGCAGTCTTCCCACTACCTTTCTTGTGACACCATTGTTCTCTTCTGAGGATGGTCTGGTGGCAGAGAGAGGGACTTCTGTATCTTTCACATGCATGCTGTGGTGGGCACTGTGTGGCCTTCATTAGTTACCGAGTATACTAAAATTCTGCCATTACTTATAAGTGAAGTCTAAAAGATCCACTCACTGCTGGGGAGTCAAGAGAGGTAGAGGAGAGTATGGAGGAATAAGTGTTGACAGAGACTTGACTTGGGGTGGTAAACACACACAGATTCTTTAGTAAGTAATATGTTGTGGACTTATGCACCTGAAACCTGTATATTTTGTTAACCAATGTCATCCCAATAAATTCAATAAAAAGGAAAAAAGATTTTAAAAAATAAAAGTAGAGACAAAAAAGGAAAAATTAAAACATTAAAGATCAAAGATTCAGTCACATAAAATGAAGTCATGTTATTTTTAAAACTAAAAAAGGACCAGGGCAAGCCTGTCTAGCCAGCCAGTCTAGAGTTCCTAGGGTCTGGCCGTATTATCCGTATCTGTACCAGTTCCAGCAGTGGTTTTGTGGTCATCAGCTCAAGCTTAATTATCAAAATAGGGATAATTCTGAATCCTGTGGCTAGTTAGAACCAAGACAATGGCAGCTCTTTTAAAGATCAGATTCCTTGGTTTATTAGTGCTCAATTTGTTGTCCTGATCTGGGGAGATTACCTGAGGAGGGGGAAAAACAAGGATGTAGTACCCACCCTGTGATGATAATAAACCTCTAATAGAACCCTTTTGGGGAACAGGGGTTGTGTACAGGACAGAAGCCAGTCACCAGGCCCATCATGTTATCGATGAATTCCTATATCATGGGGTTTACTGTACTTCAGTCAATAGATGCCTTAATCATCAGTGATTCTTAATCTTTTTTGCAAAATAGACCCCACTGAGATTGTGTTGAAAGCTTCATCAGCAGATGTCACTGAGTTTGTTGACCTGAACTACCTAGAACTCCAGGTTAAAAAATTACTTTCACTGACTCTTAATAATGCTAACTTCACTAGTGCATTTTTGAAATTTCTTTTCACTGCAATAATTCAAATACTAATGAATTTTTACCTCCATTAATGGAGTACCTTAAATGTAGCAGAGAATTAGGCAGTGGGAGATACAAGTTAATTGAAATGATTGTTTCCACAAATAGAATACTTTTTACTAAGTGTGTCATTTATCTGTTCTAGCATATCTTAACCTTTTTAGCTTACAGTTAACATAAAAGTGATAAATAATCCTTTAACAAGTTTGGATGGCTGACATTTTCATTTATATTTATTGTTTTTTCTTTTTCATTGGTGAAAGGTGGAGATCACTTGGGATGAGACCGATCATGAAAGAATCACAACACTCAACAGGAAGTTTAAAAAGGAAGAACTTCTGGACATGGATTTTCAAGCTTATTTAGCTTCCTCTAGTGAAGATGAAGAAGAGATAGAAGATGGGCTGCAAGGTACTTGTTAATCTTCTGGTGTTCTACATTTGTAAACATTTAAATGCCTAAGCTAGATTTGTTAATGGAAATATGCTTTTGTAGCAGCTTAAAAGGGAATACCAAACTAAGTCTTAAGCTGTCCGCAAAGCATACTTCCATGTATTTTGTACACCTTATAGTAATTGAAATTATTAAAAAAATATTTCCTTAGCCTGAATTTCTTTATCCATAAGCATTTCCTTCAAAACTTGGACGTAACCAAAAAAGCCTGGCCTCGTAGACTTGTCATGGTTCACATAGTTGTGCAATATCTTAACAAACCAGTACAATGCTTTACTGCCACCCTTTTTTAAAACTAAGAACTTCTTTTCGATTGATTGAATATTTTTTACATTCCACTTTTCTCCTCAACTGGTTTAGAAAGTAGACTTTCTATTTATTTAGCAATTGTCCTAGAAATTATGACTTATAACCTTATGTTAGAAAAATCTAATGATAACTAATTTTTTACCGTCCTCCATAATATAAGAAATCTTAAAACAACTTTCATATTGTCTTATGTATAGTAATCCTAACTTTTTTCCACAGTCCCAAAGGACATTAATATTATGGTTTTTATACTTTAAGTTTACCCACATTTTCCCCACTTCTTTTCCTCTGTATTCTTTTCTAAATCTTTTACTTTTGAGATTATTTTCATTCTGCCTTAAGTAAATCCTTGATAATTTCCAGGAGTATCTGCTGGTGTCAAACTCTCGAGTTTTAGTTTAATTTAAAAATGTATTTTTTCCTTCACTTGTGAAGATATTTTCACCAGTAAAGAATTCTAGGTGGACATTCCTTTCCAACTGTAGGTAACTTTTGAGAAGTCAGACTATCAGATTAACTTTTTAAGTCTTTTGAAGGTTGTCTGGATTTTATTTCTTTGACTGTCTTTAAAGTTTTCTCTTTCTCTTTGTCCTTCTGCAGTTTTACTGTGAGCTAAAGTAAATTTTATTTTTTATGCTTGGAGTTTGTTGCATTTCTTGACTTTGTGGCATGGTATTTTTTATCAGTTTTGGAATATTATCCATTATTTATTGAGATATTTCTTTTTCCCTCTCCTTCTGAGACTCCAATTAAATATATGTTAGATCTTTTCAATGTAACCACCATGTTTCTATTCTCCTTTTTTTTTATTGTCTTTTTGTGCTGCATTCTGGATATTTTCTTCTGACTTGTTTTTCAGTTCACTAATTATTTTTTCAGCAGTGTTAAAAATGCTGATAGACCTATGCATTGAATTCTTAATTTTGGTTATTGTATTTTTTTACTTGTAACAGTCCTATTTGGTTATTTTTCAAATCAACAATATCTTTTTCTCATTATAGGTCCTTTTAACATGTTTATTTTTATAAACAGAGTGAGCATGTTTTTGTAATCTGTATCTGATAATTTCAGTATTTCAGATGTTTTGGGGTTGATTTCTGTTACTTTATAAGATAGTTCTCTTGTTTACTTGCACGCCTGGTTAATTATGTGCTGCTTTGATATCTGAGGTGAGAGTATGTCACCAGAGAGAACCTTCATTTACTCTGGTCATTCTGGGACCGCATTACTACATTTTAATGCTTGAGATTCCCTGGACTTCATGAGTGATGCAAGTCTTCATGAGGACTGGTTTACTTCTGGTCGACCCTTGCTTGCCCTGAGAATATACTCCTATGGGTCCCTGCTTACTGTAGGGGTACTAGTTGAAATCACCTCTTGTATGGTCTTTAACTTTTGTCTTCTTGGCATTACCAGGCTGCCCAAACTGTAGTTAGTCCCAAAGGTGTTTCTTTTATGGATCAGTAAATACTCAGGTTAAGAAATGTCTTCAACTCTGGGATCATCTCTTTGGTACTCCAATCTCCTTGATATGGACTTTATTATTCTTCACTAACTTGTCAGTTTTAAAAGGTTTTTAAAAACCCCCTTGAAGTTTTTAAAAAGATACTTTAAATGTTTAATCCAACTTGATGTCCTCAGTGAAAGGGTTGGTCTGAAGTATCTAACTCCCCATTAATGGAAGCAGAAACTCTTAAATTACCTATATCTTTATTTTAAAAGTTTTTTGATGATTGAAATGATTAGTAGTATATTTTTAAAATATATATGCTTTGTGCTTAAAATAACACATATTTTAAAAATAGATTCAAAACACCCTTTTTTCCTATACTGAATCAAGCCCTGTTTGGGAATTTGGTTGCTCGATTATAATTTCTGATCAGTTTTGGTTTGATACTATCTCCCTGATCTCTTCACATCCTTATTATTCTTATCAAATAGAATTCCCAATCATGCAAAATTATGAGTAAGGGATTTGGTGCTGACAGCAAAAGGAAGAACCATAAATGTTAAACACAGACATAAAATATCTGTTCTAAAATAGCAGGAATAAATATTCTTTTATTTGTAGCTTAACATATTCATAGCTGTCCTTTTGGCTTTCCTTTTACATTTGTATGACTTTTGTACCCTAAGCATGAAATTAAATCCTAAAATGCTCTTTTAGTATTATCATAGGCCCATTAAACCTTAACTTTGTTAAGAAAGAGATACTGTGATTGGGCTATCACCATTCCTTTTAGACTAATGAAGATACTGCTTCATTTTTGTGTTTCGTAAAGTACTGCTCTTGCTCTGTGTTCCACAAATGGAATGGAAAGTACAGTGCTGAGCTTTCTACCTCATATATGTATTTTTACTTCTAAAACTTTAAGGATTAATGATGACTTTTTGTTTGAAATACATTAATTCATTATGTTTTTTAAAGCATGCATTTTACTTTAGTATTTTAATTGATTGCAAGCTTACTTTAATCTGTAATTTCGTACTTCTGTTAGATACAATAGTGTATTTGAATGCCTTAGAGTTACTAGATGTTCCTGATGTTATTTATAAAAGATCATAGCAGGGCTTCTTACTTTTACAATTAATTTTTTCACTCACTATATAATGTTAAAGCTTTCACAGAGCATTGTCCTTGAATTGGAAAAAAACAGACCTACGTGAATTATCCCACATTTTAGGGTTTCAGAAAGTAAATTTTAGTACTGGAAAAAATCAATTTAAAGTAGGCCATCAGAGACTTACCACTAAAATTTCAACCTGGAAGGAGCTTGCTTCTAATTATGTTTTCAGAAGTAAGCTTTTAATAGAAAGAAATACATTGCCATTTTGTTAATGTGTTCCTGATGTTTTATCCATTGAATTACGGGATACATGACAGAATTCCATCCAACGTTATTATTGTGGCACAAAGCACAAACAGGAAAAAAATGAATTTCAGCTGTTTGAGTGAAAATGTAAAAGTGTGATAGGATGGAAAGAATGTCCTGGACTATTTTTTATTCATTTAGAGAAAAAAAAACTGTAAAAACATTTACTTAACCAATCTTTTTTCCATATCACCTTTTTGAAGATGCAAGGACAATCTGTCAACATTGTTGTTTCATAGCTAAATGCTTAACAATGTGGGACATTTTTAGTTACCATTTAGCCGTAGCTCATAAAAGAGAGGGTCTTCTTTTTGCTACTTACAAATTTTTCTTTACTGGGACATTTAAGTCAATTCAGTAAGTCTGTATGTTTTGCACTAAAACCCAGGTTTGGTTTTTTTTTAAAGATTTTATTTATTTATTTTTAGACAGGGAAGGGAGAGAGAAACATCAATGTGCGGTTCCTGGGGGCCATGGCCTGCAACCTAGGCATGTGCCCTGACTGGGAATCGAACCTGCGATGCCTGGTTCGCAGCCCGCGCTCAATCCACTGAGCTACGCCAGCCAGGGCAAAACCCAGGTTTTTAATTTATGGCTTTGCCTTGGAGAATTACAGTGGAAATATAGAGCAAACAAACTTTTCATGTATTCGTTTTCTTTGGTATTTGTTGCCCATGAATTTAATACTGTTCTTCTGTATTCTAATTACTTTTATAAAATCAGGAAATGGAAATGTGAATATTTTTTCCAGAGGGAAATTAACTGAATGAACTTCTAACTTATTCATTTTTATTAATGTATTCATGAGATCCTGAGAATAAGTACACTTGATCACCATCAAATGGAAGGGACTTAATTATTTTTTGTTTTGGATTACAAACAACTTTCTTTACCTGTCTCTTCAGCATGAACAGCTGAATCCATCTTTCAAATGCATCCCAACAATATTTTGCCTCTATTGATAAAAACATTTTAAAGCATTTGGTGGTTGGTGGAAAACATAAAAAGGGATAAAAACATCATCCCTGCTGTCTTGCTTATAGGGAACAGAATTATTTTTAAATATGAATTTTAATAAAAGGAGATTTCCCAAGTGTACTGCTATGACAGTGCTAATTTATATTGCAACTGATTTTTATTGTAAACAAGACCTAAGTTTTTGGCTCAATTCATTTAATATTAAGAAGTTTTAGTTGGATTTTGATATGCTGTTACACAATAGGTCTGGAAGCATCTTTCAGGAGGGTGCTGGATTGACTGAGATTTAAACACTGGAGTTAGACATGAATTATTCCTGTGTATTAAAGAATTTTTTTTTGTTAGGTGATGATGAAGTCACTGTAGAAGAAGATGGGAAAACAAAAAAAAGTCAGAGAGATGAGGAAGAACAAATTGCTAAATATAGGCAACTCTTGCAGATTATTCAAGAAAAAGAAAAGAAAACCAAAGAAAATGATATGGAAATGGAAATTAAGTGGGTTCCAGGTAAGAACTAGATACTAACTGTTGATTTGTTTTTCTTCATTTTAGCATGTTGAGAGCATTTTGGATGGGACAGAAAAGAAGATTGACTTGTCTTTGGATATATAAACTTTAATAATCTAATTTTCCAGGAATGTTTTGGGGGAGGAAGTTAACATGGTATTTGTATATGTCATTTAATTCTGTTTTTTAGGGACTAGTGTTTTGACTTTTGCCCGCTTATTCTGTTTCTTTGATTTACTAACTACAAATTATTTCTGTTCATTTATGAAGGTAAACCTTTCTTTGATTCCAGTATTCTCAGGATATAGAAACTTGAATCTAGTACCATGTGTTCTAAAGTCATTAAACTTTTTTCAAAATATGTAACTCATAAATGGACATTTCACCTATAACCCCTATTATACCTTAATTAGTGAGGTTTCACTAATACAAAATGTATAATGATTAGTTTTTTATCTCAGTTTTGCTCAGTTTTTATCTCAGAATAGTCAAAAAGTATAGCATAGTAAGTGATTTTTATAACTGCCTTGAACTGTTCTGTTTTACAGAAATGCAGTACTATTTAAAAGTATGTCACAGCTAAAGAAAGATGAAAAACTAGGATAAATGAGGATTGTTTTCTAGTGTATATGGTTTTTCCCCAATCTTTGGCAAATTAGCATGTACCTTTGCAAACAATATTGATTTTGCAGATTACTGCTTTTTACATATATGTATTATCTTTTAAAGGTAAGTATAACTTTGACATGGATTTAGTTCTTTCAGCCTCTAGATTAAAGAATACTAACTACTATTAACACTTAAAAAAGTAGTTAATACTAACTACTCTTAATACTATCCACTTTTAAAACAAATAGACTGTGTCATAACTATTTGTTTTAAATGTTTGGCCTTTGCAGGAAGTGATGATAAGAAAAAAATGAAGTTTGGTAGCGTTATCATGTGAACTATGGTTGAGAGGACTCAGTTAAGTTAGCCTGAAAAGCCAAAAAAGTAACTTAATAGTCATTTTCAAGTACTTGTAGGATGAATATGTAAATAAAGATTTAATTTTTCTTATTATCTCAGAAGTCAGTGCTTTTGCGAATAGATAAAAGAATGATGAAGTAAAGTTGCTTTCAAAGTAACATAAAGAGGAATTCTCTATATTGTCAGAACTATCCAGCAAAAGAGCACAAAGGCGGCTTTAAGGGTTCAAGCACCCTTTGTTAGGAAGTCTGACAGTAGGTAATACAGCCATACTATTTGGGGATGTTTGTGAAGAAATTTTTTATTTGAGGCCCTTGACTTTTTATTATAAGAAATGTGGAATTCTATCTTTTAAGTCAAATATGTTGTAATTATAGCTTAATTCTAATCTTAGAATGAACTTATTGAATGAATATAATTTAAATGAATGTATTTTTAATTGAGGTATTCATTTCTCTCTTACAAAGATTTAAAGTTAACTTGATTGGGAAGTTTTATAGTAAATATTTCGGAGTTATACTGAGTGGACCATATCTAATCTTTGTTTTTATTAATACAGTTATGTAATGCAAATACCAAAAAGTGATACATTTATGTTTCTAACTGGAAATTTTAAGCAATAATTTTACTAGGATAAATCTCACTTGGTCATGATGTATTATGATTTGTATATATTTCTAGACTCGGTTTAGTAGTGTTTTGTTAAAGATTTTGTACTTGTGTTAATGAGGACCATTTGTCTACAGGTTTCATTTCCTGCAGTGTTGTTGGTTTTTGATATTGGGGTAATGCTAACCTCATGAAATGAATTAAGAACTGTTCCCTCTTCTGTTTAACAGTACATTTTTATCTTGGCCCTTTTGTTTGTGGATGTAATATTAATATCATAAAATATTTTGAAATGTAAAAAATATATGTAATTCTATTACCCTAAATCACCTGCCTAGTGATTAGATTGTGGTTTAATTGATCATCTCTCTGTTGTTGAATATTTAATCATATTTCTGGTCTTTCACCAAAGTAGAACTATGGCATTGAAATGAAATGTGACCTAAGGCCGTTAATGATTCCAAACCCACAAATATCAGTACTTTTCTTAGCTCTCTTCACTTTTATTACCAGCCAAACAATTGGCTTGCTATTTTAGGGATTTTTTACTTTTAAAAACAATTTTTAACAAAGACACTTTTCTTTTTTTTCCCCCATTTTAGAAATGTCTCCAAGCTTGGAGAACTAGTAGAGACCACAAGGAGAAGCTAATGCTGGCAGTCAGGCTTACTTACTCATTAGTTATGTGATTTCCTCACACACATAGCAACTTTACATATGCTGTGGATCAACCTGTGGTTCTCTCACAAGCTGTTAAAACTACCAGTGTCAAAACCCAAATTTTAAATCCCAGATGCCAATCATCTAGGATGTTATAAATAATCCATAGCTTTTTCCATATTTTCAAATATTTTCATAGGATAGCTTCCCAGAAATGGAATTGGATTATACTAGCTTATAATGCCTTCAACAATGAGTAAAAGTGCCAGTTCTATGGAATTATCGTCAACATTGTATATATATATTTTTTACTGTTAGTTCATGGGGGAGAATTGATGATCTAGAATATAATGCATTTTTAAGTCTTTTACTGTATTTTTTAAGGCCCCAGATGGGGTATGGTTGTTACCTATGAATCCTTGGCACATACATGCATGCAGCGATGTTTGTAAATGTAAAGGTATTTTATGTTAGACATGTTAAATGAGATAAATGAGTTAATCTTAATAGAATGTCAGTTTACTTATTTGGAAAGTGGGACTAAAAATACCTTTTGTGCTTAATTTGGATACTTACAAAGGTACCTTATAAGCTACAGAGTATGATTCACATCAATTGTGTATTTCATTGGATTTTTGTCTTAAGAAAAATGTGTTCCCAGTAATAATTACCCTGAACCTCAGGACTTTTATGATGTTTTACTTCAGTAAACCACACAGTGGCAGTATGAGATTATACTGTGTCTTTCATTGGTTTTTCTGTGGTTTGAATTTCTAAAATATTAAGCTCTTCAGAAAAATAAGTACTCTTAATCACTAATACTTGCTGGAGTATAGTTTGTTGCTTTGTTTTTAAAAGGAATTTTAGTTTAGACTATTTAAATTTCCTATCTTTTTACATTTGGTTATACAGTATAGTAACAGCAGGACTGCATTCCTTAGGGGAAATATTAAGGGAGGCAGGTAACAGGTACATGGGTGTAACAACTAGAATAAACTGTTCTTTCTATTGATAGTCTAGTTCCTTATGGAAATATGATAATACAACCTTATTAATTGGGACTATAAATAAGTAAAAATGTTGAATTACTCGATTTTTAAAGAAAGTCATAATTCGTTATTTTGACGTATGCAGAGTAGTATTTTCCATCTCAGTGTGTTTCAAAAAAGGTATCCTTCCTGACTCACTTTGATGAGAAAAGAAGGTGTTGCATGTAATAGCTTAATGGGCCTTTATCACGAATGTGCCTCATTAGGGAATTTTTAATATATACATAAATGATGCACAGTTTTATCTCACATATACTAAATTACCTCCCCTAGAGGAATAGTTCAGTTTATGTAATATTTTTTGTTGCAAATAGTGCAAGCTGTATATAAATAATATATTTAAAATTTAATCTATATGAACACATAATATTTATTTGTTTATAATCTTAAAAGAGATTAGATATGATAAAATCCTTTTTTTTCCTAGTTACCTCTGATTTGATATACACTTGTGAAAGGATAGCTGGTCTTTTTTTTATTCAACATTCTACAGTACCCCACCTTGCCTTCAAATAATTATTGAGCACCTACTATATGCCAGAAACTATTCTGGACTACTTATGTGAATAAAATATACAAATCCTTGACCTTATAAATCCTGTATTCTGGTGAAGAGGAAGATAGATGAGTCTCTAGTAAGAAAAATACATGAGCAGAGACTAAAGGAAGTAGAGGTCAGGGAGTGTGTGCCATGCAGGGAAAAGTATATGAGTGAGTGAGTAAAGGAGAGAACAATCTATAGGTCATAGAGGTAACATGGGGCTAGATCCTGAAGGCCTTGTAGCCCATTTTAAAGGGTCAAAGTTGTTCTCTGAGTGAGATGAGAAGCTTTTAGAGTGTTTGAGATGATGAGTGATAAGATCTGACTTTTTTTCAGTTTTACTGAGATGTAATTTACATACATCACTGTATAAAAGTTTAAGTTAGACAGCATAATGCTTTGACTTACACTGTGATGTGCTTGCTGTAGTAAGTTTAATTAGCATCCATCATCTCATAGATTCAGTAAGAAGAGAATCTGACTTATTCTTAACAATATCAAAGGCTGCTATCTTGAGACTAAATTAAAATGGGATGCAAGAACAAAGGGAGATTAGTCAGGAGGCTGTTGCAATAGTCCTGAGATAATGAAGATTGTGGGTGGAACAGGTTTGCGAGGGAACCTCAAAATTTTTTTTTTGGTCAAATGTTAAGTTTAAGATGCCTATTAGATATTGAAATAGAGACACCAAGGAGGCAGATACACAGTTTAAAGTTCAGGGAAAAGGTCAGGACTGGAGATATAAATTTGGGAATCTTCATTATACAAATCTCTGAAAGTGAAGAATGTCATGGGAGTGATTATAGGTAAGAATGAATAAAGATTCAAAGCAGATCCCTGGAGCACTCCAGCATTTAGAGGTTGAGTAGGTAAACAAGGATCACCTAAAAGCATCTGGGAAGAAGCTACTAGAAAAGCAAGAGGAAATTTAGGGTTGTGGTGATATCTAGACAGCCAAGTGAAGAAGGCATTTCAGTGAGAAATTGGTCAATAACATTGACACTAAGAATGAACATTGAATTTAGCAATGTAGAGATCATAAGTGTTACTGAACAGTTTGGTGGAAAGGGGATGAGAATGATACGGGTTCAAGAGAGAATGGGAGCCCTGGTTGGCGTAGCTCAGTGGATTGAGCACGGGCTGGGAACCAAAGTGTCCCAGGTTCGATTCCC